AACCCAGAACAAGAAAGCAAGAAACTTGAAACAGCTTTGAAACTTATAACACCCAAATGTTGGAATATTCCCCAGAGGGTAGCAGAGCACATATATGACTCCCCAATAATTCCAGGTCCTTGAAAAAATGATGATGAGACTATTGTTCTCGAGCAAGATTCTGATTCAGAACTGTCCCCTGAAGACCGAGACGACTTAAGAGAGCAGGCTTTTGAGTATAATAAAGTTGCTATGCCTTTATAGTAACTAAACACAAAAATAAAGATAAAGGCTCCCCGTTTTCTGAACTTAAAGATATGTTAACACCCATATCTCAGAGAATAGAACAACTAGACTTGTTACCTTTGGATACAGCAAAACCATTGCATTCTAAAACGCCATCTGTTGTAGCCGGTTTAGATCCTGACCCACTGCCGCCACCTGTCCCACTCCTTCCCCCTCCTCTCGCAGAAGTGCCTTTGATTCCAACAGCGCCTGTATACGTCCCATCTAGCCTAAAAAAGCCAGTCCTTTCACCACATCAAATGGCTGTGAAAACAGCCCGAGATCAGGGCGAAGAACTGTAGGACTAATTATTGGTAGAAGTAGTTGGACTATGAAAGGGTTGTCAGTGTCCCCAGGAGTGACTGACGCAGACTACACGGGGGAACTTAAAATTATGGCCCATGCACCTTCAAATATAATTAGCATTTCCACCAATCAATGAATAGCACAACTGGTTTTGCTACCTCTTCATTTAGAGGGGAAAACTGCTAAACGAGAACGAAAGACTGATGGTTTTGGTTCTTCTGATGTATATTGGGTGCAGTCCATTTCTGCTGAGCATCCCAAACTAGATCTTTTTATTGAAAATAAAAAATTTACAGGGATCTTAGACACTGGTACGGATGTGTCAGTTATAGCTGAAGAGCACTGGCCTCAGCATTGGCCCAAACAGGAGGCCTTTTCCACATTACGGGGAATAGGACAATCTCAAAATCCATAGCAAAGCAGCAGTATCCTACACTGGAGAGGCTCTGAAGGACATGAGGGAGATTTTCAACCTTTCATTCTCCCTCATCTCCCGGTTAACTTATGGGGAAGAGATGTAATGCAATAAATGGGGGGGTTTATATTTTTGCTCCAAATCAGATTATTTCCAAAATGATGATGAATCAAGGGTTACTTCCCCAGCAGGGGTTAGGAAGAAATAATCAAGGTATAACCCAACCAGTTATGCCTATTTCTAAACCTTCTAGATCTGGATTAGGTTGTTTTTAACGGGGGCTACTGATTCTCCTGTAATCCATGCAGACCCAATCAGTTGGAAAACTGATGAACCTGTCTGGGTTGATCAGTGGCCCCTGACTAAAGAGAAAATTTCTGCAGCTGAGCAATTGATACAGGAGCAGTTGCAATTAGGACATATTGAGCCATCCAGCTCCCCTTGGAATTCCCCCATATTTCTTATTAAAAAGAAGTCTGGCAGGTGGAGGTTGTTACAAGACCTTTGCAAAGTTAATGAAACTATGGTGGTTATGGGACCACTCCAGGCCAGCTTGCCCTCACCTGCTGGGATACCACGTGCAACCTATAAAATAATTATAGATTTAAAAGATTGTTTTTACACGATACTTCTACATCCTAACGATTGTCATCGCTTTGCTTTTAGTATTCCCTCCACAAATTTTAAACAGCCTGCACGAAGATATCATTGGAAAGTCCTTCCAAAGGAAGACGTCTTTCCAGAGAAATGCTGGGGGCCGATCCTACTTACATTTATGTGCCTTATACTAAAGAACAACAGGAATGGCTTTTTCAGTTTAATGATTCATGGGCTTTGGCTTTCGATTCTTTTACAGGACAGATTATCAATCATTTACCTCCTGACAAAGTTTTACATTTTGCTAGTCAACATTCATTTATCATCCCCAAAAATGTTTCCAATTCCCCTATCCAAAATGCACTGACTGTTTTTACTGATGGATCTTCTAATGGAATTGCTGCTTTTGTGGTTAATAATACTTCTTTTTCCTGGCAGACTGGATATACCTCCGCTCAAGAACTCTCAGCAGTTCACAAAGTCTATTCTCAATATCTCTTACAGCCTTTTAATTTGTTTACGGATAGTAAATATATTATTCATGCCTTACAATATATAGAAACTGTTCCTTTCATTTCCACTAGTAATTCTAATATTCAGTATTTACTGCACTCAATTCAATCTCTTCTTCAGCAGCGTGCCTCACCTCGCTTTTTTGGGCATTTACGCGCCCATACCGGGCTTCCTGGACCTTTATCTATGGGAAATCAAATAGCCGACTCTCATACTCGAGTCCTTCTTTCACAGGTAGATGCAGCACAACAATCACATGCCTTACATCATCAAACTAGCAATACCCTTCGTCTGCAATTTTGTCGAGAAACTGCCCGACAAATTGTTAAATCTTGTTCTGTTTGTCCTCAATTTCTTCCAGTCCCTCATCTAGGTGTCAACCCTCGTGGACTCTTACTTAATCACCTTTGGCAGATGGATGTCACTCATGTTCCTTCCTTTGGTCACTTAAAATATGTTCATGTATCTATTGACACATTTTCAGGTTATATCGTGGCTTCCCTACAAACTGGCAAAGCTGCAAAACATTCCATTTCACATTGCCTGTATGCCTTCTCTATTTTAGGTACGCCAAAAATTATAAAAACCGACAATGGCCCCGGTTACATTTCCTCTGCCTTTAAGACTTTTTGTTCCTCCTTTTCCCTTACCTTAAAAACAGGAATTCCATATAATCCCCAGGGCCAAGGCATCATCGAGAGCGACAATCAGACCCTGAAATTGCAACTACAAATACAAAAGGGGGAGCTCTACCCCCTTTTACCTCTAAATTATCTTAATCATGCTTTATATATTTTAAATTTTTAAATTTTAGATAAAGAAGGACACTCAGCTGCCCAAAGATTTTGGGACCCTCAAATCTCTAGTAAGAAACCAATGGTATTATGGAAAGACTCATTAGACAATTCATGGCATGGTCCGGATCCGGTATTAATTTGGGGGAGGGGTTATGTATGTGTTTTTCCACAGGATGCCAAAACACCGCGCTGGCTCCTGGAAAGGCTGGTACGCCAGACGGAGAAGATCACTGAACCAGCAAATGAGTCGGCTCTCTCTACAGCAGAGAAATGCATTCCCGACAGCTCAGCAGATGCATGAGTTCATCTTACAAGCAAGAAGGATGGCCGCTGACACTGCTCAACCCTGATCTGCTCTGGCCTATATTGTTCTTACATTAGCATGTGCAGTAATTAATCAAGCTTTCCCCCAGTGCTCCTGATCAATTTGAAGGTGATTATTATCAAGTTTGGGAAGAATATTTCTGGATGACCCCTGAAAAAGGACAGCTACTGACCCCTGCCGACATTTGCTGGGAGCAAAAGACTCATATACCAACATTTGAAGGATGAACACTCGCAGGAAACCTGATGAAACATATGGGACTGTTACCTACAAATGTAAAATTGTGATAGATGTGACGTTTGATACTAATAAGTCCTTTGTGTGGCCTGGGTCAGACTGGAACAATAATCCTGGTATAAGATGAGTAACTCCTAACAATACCTGATGGGTTCGTGGAATTGTTGATGTTTTCTTATTTACAGACACAACGGGTTCCCCTGAGGGAGATATAATTGCCAATAGTTTAAAGAAAAGGGGGAGCTGCAGGGAGCCAGCCTGAACATACAGGCCCCTTACGGCCCTAAGAGAGAACAAAGGGTCTCTCTTTGTCCTGCCACCCCTTCTTGTTAAAGTATAGACTGGCATTTGTCCCCTTCAGGGAAAAAACACCCCAGTGACCTCTCGCCTGTTTTCCTGGTGCTGATAAACTCGTCATGCTTGAAGCCTGTTTTCTATCCAGTTAATGTTCTATTGATCTCAGTCATGTTGGGCGCTAGGGTAATGCTTTACTGACCTTAAGTGGAGGAATTTAAAACATCTGTGCCTGTAGTTCCGCACATATGCAAACCTTTGATCTATTAGTAACTCCTGTTAGCATATATATAGGTGTGGTATTCTTCAATAAAGTTGTCGGAATCAGACGCAAGCTGACTCCAACTCTCTCAACCCCATCTTTCTGAGTCTTATTTCCCGGGTAGTCTGGTAATTGCGTTCTCGACAGTTCGTTTGCCGGCAGGCTCCGGCAAGCCCCCTCCCTCCTGTTGGCATGACTGATGGTCTTCTCCTAGAAGGCAGTCTGCCTGGCCCAGCAGGGCGCCTGGTCTCTGCTGCCTTCCCCACACCCATGTTTCTCTTGGGATGCACGTGGGCAGTGGGGAGACAGGCCCTCCAAACTTGAAAACAAGAACCAGAAACATTTCCAGATGACTGCTGGGGGACCCAACTGGTGAAAATGTAGTAAGCACCCAAGAGCAAAAAGAGACCCTGGGCAGGAGAGTTCTTTTGTAATCCTGTTGGGGATTTTATTTTTGCCTGTTTATTTCATTAAGTCAACTCAAGTGAGAGTTTTCACCGCAGGAGTTGTCTGTGAGACAGAAAATGTCAGTTTGCTCTCAGGTGAAGGGGAGGATAAACAGCTTGCTTATTTCCCTGTCAAGGGGTGCATCGTGCAGGCTGTGGCTCCTGTCCCAATGACCCCAGATTCAAGGACCAGGTGGGACACCCAGCCACCAGGAATGGAGATTAAGCCACCCTGCAGGGTCCGTGGGGACAGCCCTTTGGCTTGCAGGCTTCTGGGAACACCCCCTCTCCTGAGGACCCTCTCTAGCTGTGGTCAGTGCCAGTAGCGAGGGAGGACTCTGCCAGCACAAAGACATCATGAAGTGTTGACGACCTGCTCTTGGGGAAAGAGGTTTTCCCAGGTGGCTCAAGTGGCAAAGAATCCACCTGGCAATGCAGGAGACTCAGGAGACTTGGGTTCGATCTCTGAGTCAGTAAGATCCACTGGAAGAGGTCATGGCAACCCACTCCCAATATTCTTGCCTGGAAAATTCCATGAACAGAGGAGCCTGGCAGGCTACAATTCATGAGGTCACAAAGAGTCAGACATGACTGAGCACGCACGCACTTGGGGAAACAAGAAAATGAGGTTTCCAGAATCTGCCCTACCAAACTGCGCCAATAATATTGATAGTTCCCTCTCTTTTCCAGGTACTAAATGGAGCCAATTACATAATAATTCGTCTTCTGAAAATTCACTTAGCTTTGGGGAGCTGGAGGGATGATTTTGCATAGGAGATTGTTTGATGAGACAGCTGTCCTCTCCCCTCTGCCTCTGCATGTAGGCAGAGCAAAAGGTAGGGACTGAGGGCAGAGGTGCCCGGCTGTTTCTGTTGCCCCTGCCATTGGTACCGTCGCCCCCATTCCTGTCACTTTCCTCCACTGCAGTGCACTAGGAAGGTTCTCCCAGCAGAAGACAAGCCACAGGCAGCTTCCAGAAAGTGAATCCCAATCTTCTGGCTCCAGGGTCCTCCTCATTCCTGACCACTTTCCAGGGTCAGGCAGCAATGGATCAGGCAGAACATTTTCTGAGGAGCTCCAGGAGGCGGGAGAAGAGCTTTGGACAACACCTTCCAAGTCCCAGTGAAAAGGATACTTTGTAACCCAGAGGCAGAAGGGGTAAACTTCAACCGGTTGGTTGAGAGTTCTGGAGGAAACCTGACCAAGATCAGCAACCCATTGGCAGCATGGGATCCAGGGCTTTGTGGGGGCCGGGGTTTCTTGTCTCCTCGTCACCACAGCCTCTGCGAGGGTAGACTCTGGCCTCCCATGGATGGATGACCACAGCAGGTCTCCTCTTGGAAGCCGTCTTTGCTGCCCAGCAGGAATGGGGCACCCACGTACGGAACACGCACCCCGCGTGCCAGCAGTGAGCCTACACCTTTCTATTGCTTCCAAGAAACCTAATGAAATGCAAATGTGTGGGAGTGACAGCAGGGATAAGCTTAACTTTGCTGTAAATAACATTTTTAAAAGGAATTCATTTGCAAGCATTTATACTTTACTAATTTCTTGCCACATAGCTATGGATGAGAATCATCAGTCTGTCCATAGGATTGGGGGGTTTCTACTCAAATGCCTTGGGGACTGGAGTCTGCCCGTGGGTGTCAGATCCTAACCACCCACACAGGCCTTGCCAACTCTTTCTCCTGGTAGGGTTGACCTCTTGCCCTGTATTTCCAACTATAGGTTGATGTCCTATTTTGTTGGGGCACATTGGTAACACTTTCTCAGTGCTTACGTGAGTTGCCAAATAGTTTTGCCTAGTCTCTTGCAGTTGGGTTTCCATCACTTATACACAGGATCAAACATGACTTTGCTATGAAGGATTGCTGGTTACATCCCTTGAGGATAAGCCTAGGAGCTGGGACGGTGACCCCAAACCTGGTCAAGCCCCCAGTCTGGTCTCCCTCAAAAGAATATTTTGAGGCATGTAAAAATTGACATGAAATTCAATGTCAGTGACCACAAGCTAAGTTTTGCACTGACACCACCATTTTCACTCATTTATCCACCAAGTGTGACTGCTTCCATGGCCACACGGCAGAGGGGAGGAGTCGTGATGGGCCGTGTATGAGGCCCCCATGGCTCCGCACAGCTGCTCAGTTATAACTGGGTGCTGCAAACTGCAGCCACATCTTGACCACATTTCAAGGGCCATATAGGACATTGCAAAATTCTGTTTATTACTTGCTTACACTCATCATAACAAATCAAGACAAGTGAACTCTGTTGTATTCTTAAGGTACAGCAGAATTTTGCCATCGAATTAGATACCAATTAGCATGGTTTTAGACTCACAGACATGGAGAACAGGCTTGTGGTTGCCGAGGGGGAGGGGCTGGAGGAGGGATGGACTGGGAGTTTGGAGCTAGCAATGCTAACTATTATATGTAGAATGGATGAATAACAAGGTCCTACTGTGTAGCACAGGGAATGATATTCAATGTCCTGGAATAAACCATCATCTAAAAGAATATTTAAAATAATATATAACTGAATCACTGCCATACAGCAGAGATTAATACAACATTCTAAATCAACTACACTTCAATAAAAATATATTTTTTAAAAAGCATGGTTGTATTATGCAAGGACACGGGTTGTGCTAAAAGAATACAATGCATGTTGATATAATTAGATAAGCATTCATCACAGAAAAGCTGTGGTCAGAAAACTTTAATTTTAAAATGGAATATCTCCTTATAGCAGAATTTCTTCCCAAAAACAAAAAATGAAAATAAGTTTTCAATCAAACTAAGTTTCCAAGGAGTTCATTTGTTATCCAAGCAAGGAAAACTGTTTACCAGTGGTGAATTAATCAAATAATATTTGATTATGCAGCTGAAGACATGTGTCCAGACAAAATGAATTTAAGATTATTCATTTTTAGAGGAAGTTACTCAAAGAATTAGGACTTCTCTGGTGGTTCAGTGGTAAAGAATCCACCTGTCAATGTGGGGAGACGTGAGTTTGATGCCTGGAGTGGGAAGATCCCCTGGGAAAGGAAATAGCAACCCACTCCAGTATTCTTGTCTGGAAAATTCTATGGATGGAAGAGCCTGGCAGGCTACAGTCTATGGGGTCACAAAGAGTGACACGATTGATCAACTGAACAACAACAACAGCTCAAAGAATTGAGGGCATAGGCGCAACATCAATAGAACATTTTTAAAAACCAAAGCAAATGATTTTGAGTCATTTTCTTTGGCTCTTGATGAGTCAACAGATATTACTGATAATACCATTATTTGAGGTATCAACAGCAACTTTTTTTTTTTACTTTTATTTTTTGCTGAAGTACAGTTGATTAGCAATGCTGTGTTAATTTCGGGTGTACAGAAAGTAACTCAGTTGCACATACACATGTAGCTATTCTTTTTCAAGTTCTTTTCCCATGTAGGCTATTACAGAGTATTGAACAGAGTTCCCTGTGCTATACAGTAGGTTCTTGTTGATTATCTATTTTAAATATAGCAGTGTGTACATGTCAGTCCCAAACGCTCAAGCAAGTTTGCAGTGATGGAAGAATTAGCTTCTGAATAGTTGGCATGGAACAATTACAGGTGAGAGTATTTTCAGAGACATTGAGAAAACACTAATTCAGGACAATGTGAAATAGAATCTAAAAACACAAGTGATGGTAATGTGTGGATCAGCAGCTATTTTGCAGAAGGATGTGACTCTATTTGAATTTATTATGCAATGACACTACAGCTGTGTATTATTGAACCAGTGTTCCCAGTGGTGAATTTCTTTCATTCACATGGTTGCCAATTCTGTGAATTTTGTCAGCAATAGCAGTTGAATAGTTCAACTCTCCTGGCCACAGAGCAGTCTGGTGGCTTAGCAAGGGTAAGTTTAATTGTGATTATTTGAGCACAGGATCAATACTGGAATTTTTCAAAGCACCTTCATCTACTGTTATTGAATACTGAATGGCTTTGTAAATTCACTTTTGCTGCAGATGTTGATGTTTCTTAATGAATTCAACTTCCTTACCTGAACTTCCTTGAAACTCTCTCTTCCTAGGGAAGGTTGATAACTTTTTCTATTTACTCTCAAAACGCTGGCTTTAGTGCTTACACACTTGCCTTTTAGATGCCAGTGATACACCCAAGTCTTTACCTTCTGCCTGTCATTCTTTCTCCTCTTTGGCTCCATCCACACTACAGCCGGGCTTCCCCAGAGGCTCAGTGGTAAAGAATCCACCTGCAAGGCAGGAGACACAGGAGACAGGAGTTAGACTCCTGAGAAGATTCCCTGGAGAAGGGACTGGCAACCCACTCCAGTATTCTTGCCTGGAGAATCCCATGGAATGAGGAACCTGGCAGGCTACAGTCCATAGGGTCACAAAGAATCAGACATGACTATAGCAACTGAGCACGCATGCATGCCCATAGCTGCAACAGTCCCATATGTGCCTATTCTCAGAGTTCAATATCTAGCCCAGACCTCTTTGTTGATTTCCAAACCCATATTTCCAGTTGCCTACTGGACACGTTAACTTGGATATTTCAGACACCTTAAATTTAACATGTCCAGAGCAATTCAGGGATCCTCAAGACCATTCAGGTTGATGCTTCACTAGGACTTATAACCTAAGACAAGCCTTTGTGGCTATGATTTATTACAGCTAAAGGATACAGACTAAAAGCAACAGAGTGGAAAACTATAAGAAACCAATGTCGGCAGAAGTACTAATGGTCAGACCACATAAAGATAGGGTAATCAAACCAGATGAAAAACCAGGACCAGCTGAGGTTCTTGCTGAGGGTGAAGGGAATACAAATGGGTAATGAAGAGAAGGTAGTTATAAATACCAGCAAGTAAAGGTGGCTGGCTTCAAAACATACATTTGGTTGTTATGAGTATTTTTTTTAATTCTGTTTTGAATAAGTTAGTGCACATTTACTACATACATGTATGTGACTAGGGATGTAGACAGAGTATATTTCAAATGTGGGGCTCTTTTGGTTGACTATCATTGCATTTAAACAATTAAAAGCCCAAAAAGGCCAAAAAAAAAAACCCAAAGAACAAATGAGGATATTTTGTTCAGCATAGGGAAAGACAGCCCTTATTTTGTAATAACTTTATATGGAGTATAATCTATAAAAATATTGAATCAAAAAATAAAATGAAAAAAATGTTAAATATACATTATGTAAGGAATGTAAAACTCAAAGACCATGATTATAAATGTTCTGTAAAGTACTTCAATGCCATACTGTCAGTGCTCAATAAATTTTAAATAGCAAAAAATGAAGTCACACACAAAAAAATCAACAGAGCAATAAGGCACATGAGCAAAACCCATGGCCCAGGAGAAACCAAGCCCAGGCTTCCAGGCATCCTCGCCCAGGAGAGTCACAACAGTGTGTGACAACACCTGTGAAGTGCTGCCAACCAAGGAAGCTCACCCAGGCCTTGGCATCCTGGGGTTTTATTGGGAGTCAGTCACGTAGGCATGTGGCACCCATGTGAATGATCACAGCTATTCAGATGCCAGTAAAAGCAGTCATTCACCATGAGTCACACTGTGCATGCTGTTGCTTCAGTCGGGCCTGACTCTGTGCGACCCTGTGGACTATAGCCTGCCAGGCTCCTCTGTCCATGGGATTCTCCAGGCAAGAATACTGGAGTGGGTTGCCATGCCCTCCTCCAGTGACTCTTCCTGACCCAGGGATCAAACCCAGGTCTCTCACCTCTCTTGCATTGGCAGTCAGGTTCTTTACCACTAGGCACCACCTGGAAAGCCCACAATAAACTTATGTGATAAACTTATGTGGTCACACTGGTACAGCATAGCCCGAGGCTTCATGCATATGTTGTTGTTCAGTCATTCAGTTGTGTCCAACTCTTTGCAACCCCATGGACTGCAGCACTCCAGGCTTCCCTGTCCTTCACTATCTCCCAGAGTTGGATCAAAGTCATGCCCACTGAATTGATGATGCCATCCAACCATCTCTGTTGCCATCCAATATCATCCTCTGCCATCCCCTTCTCCTCCTGCCCTCAATCTTTCCCAGCAGCAGGGTCTTTTCCAGTGAGTTGGCTTTTCGAATCAGGTGGCCAAAGTATTGGAGCTTCAGGTTCAGCACTAGTCCTTCCAATGAATATTCAAGGTTAATTTCTTTTAGGATTGACTGGTTTGATGTCCTTGCTGTCCAAGGGACTCTTAAGAGTCTTCTCCAGTATATAAAAATGTTATCGGGCAGAATATTCCAAGAGCTCAGAGGTTATTTCTCAGGAGTCAGCTGAGGGCCAGTCCTGGAGGCAGAACTTTCTAGGGAGTAATGTGCAGGTAACCCAGGGCTACACAGTTAACTCTTTTCTGCACAACTTCCCCGAGCTGTTCTTCCTTACACTGTATCATCTGCTGTTACCTGAGGAGTCAGCCTAGAGTGCTTTGCTTAACCCCAGCATCCAATCACATCTGCCTGTAAATCCATTCCCTTTCTCAAATCACTTCTTGCACGGATTATGGCAAACTGGACTCATCTCCACTTTGCTTTCCTTCCAGCAGGCCTCCCTATTGCTTCCACCTGGAAATCAGGATCATGACAACTACTGTGACAGAAGTGTGCACAAGCTAGGCATCGGTAATAAACGCTATACTAGAGGAAAGCTCGTGATGCTGTGACAAGGAAACAGAGGGAACAGTCTGACTGTGTCGCTCCTGCTCGACATACAGCATCACCAAGAGAATAAATTCAAAATCCCTTGTATCCAAGACCTCTTAGCCTGGCCCCTGCCTATCTTCCCACTGGTTTCCTAGTTCCTTTACTCTATGCAAACAGAACCACTGAGAGTTTCAATAAAGTTCGTGTGGTTTTGAAACCATTCACCTCAGCTTGGGACTTGAACCGGCCAAAACAGTCTTCCAACTGAGATCACACACACGGTTTCAGGACCTAATGAAACAGGTTCTTGATATCTCATCTCAGAAAGAATTCCGTAAGAGACAAAGTGACAGGTAAGAGATGGATTTATTTAGAGGGCAACATTCCACAGAATGTGGGTCATCTCAGAAGGCAAAAGCAACCTCGAAATGTGGTGTGGTTAACTTTTATGGGCTGGGCAATTTCATAGGTTAATGAGTAGGAGGATTAGTACAACTGTTTGGGGAAGGGGAGGAGATTTTCAGGAATTGGGCCACTGCCCACTTTTTGGTCTTTGAAGGTCAACTTTGAAACTGTCACGGCACCTGTGAGTGTATCATTTCACTTCCTGATGTGTTACAATAAGCATATACTGAGGCTTAGGGTCTAGTGGAAGTCGACTTGTTCACCATCTTGGACCCATTTGGTTCTATCAGTTTGTCTTTCAAAAGTCCTGCTCTGCCCCCTTCCCTCCTGTTTCAATTTGACCTTGACTGCTCTGTTTCCTTTACCTGGAATGTCTACTCTTCAATATTTAGCTCAGACATCCTCTCTGATCTCCTACCTCCTAGTCGAAGATGCTGCCCTCCCTCCACCCCGCTTCCCTGATCCTCAGAGCATTCTGATACCTCTACTGTATTAATTTTCCAACTGCCTTCAATGGTTCATTCATTTCCCTTTGGAAGATTGTTAGTTTCTCTCAACAATCAAGTTATCTTCAAGGCCACAGCCCTTGCACCTAGCATTACAATCCTAATAGGAGCTCAATAAACATTTGCTGAGAATAAAAGAAAGTTAAATTCTGAAAGAAGAGAGGTGACTGCCTGCTTATAGAAGGAGGGGAAGTTGTGTAGACACAAGAACTTTTGAGTTACTATTAAGGGAAAATAGACGTTATCAGATTGAGAGAAAATGCTATAAAATAATTTTGATCTGATTCCTATGCTCCATCATATATTAGCTGTGTGGCACTGGGCAAAATTCTCTCTCCTTGGTTCAGTTTCCTCATCTGTCAAGTTAGGATAACTATTGCTCCTACCTATAAAGTTGTTAGGAGAAGTAAAAGAAATTGCTTATTATGGCTTAGTGTCCTGTCTGGAACACAGCAAGGGTTATGTGAAATTAGGCAAGTTTCTATCCGCAAAGATCAGTTTGTTTCAGATGTGCAGATCAAGGGAAGCTGGCATGGAATTTTGAGAGGCTCCCCAGCAGCCTCAACTATAAATGGCTCACTAGAAGGTTGCTCTTTTCTATCAGATCTGCTCTCACACAACAAACACACTCCTAAGACCAACATGTGCAAAAGTGCACAGTAATAAACACAGAGTGTTTGGGGAAAATAGGATTATGGGCACAACACTCAAAAAACTTCATCAGTGACTCAAAAAACAAAAGTCTTAATAAAATCAACAGCAGCATTTTATACAATTTACGTGGTTAAGAAACACATGAACACTACAATAAATATGGAACTTTACCTTGGGAAAGACTGGAAGTTTGCTTGAGGAAGGGATATTAGAAATGTCGTTATAGCTTGTGAGTTATTGTAAAGTGGTGGCAGAAGGTCGTCTGAAATGGAAGGGGAAATTATAATGCTAAATAGGAGCAGGCATTGCTGTAACACACATGATAAACTGAGGTTGCTGGTGGATATTTAGTGTCTGAGTAGATGTGTTTTTTGCCTCCCTACCCAGATCAGCTCGACTGGGGGTAGTTTTTTGCATTCATCTACAGTGTTTCTCGTACATAAGCAAATGCAAATTTTGCTCTGTGATTAAATCATTCCCAAATGTATCAATCACACTGAGACAAATTTGGTTGTGTGTTGTTTGTAAACCAAGTATTTTAGGAGAACTGTTCAATGAGATAGACAATAACTAGATTCTATCTTTTGGAAACCATATCTGAGGAATGAATTAAAAGGAGCAGTTTTGAAGGGATTAGGATTCAACAATCGAAACTCAAGTCAGAGTTCTGGTTACTTAGCGGAGTCTTCAGCCACACGCAGGATGATGGTTCATCCCGCATTACACCTCTGGTGTGGACCTCATTACAAACAGCTCCCTGTTCATTTCTGAAAATTCTGTTTGGACAGTAATTTATAGATTTTAAATTAAAATAATGAATTGGTTTCCTCAGATCTTTGATAAAATTAACAATCATGTGTCACAAATAGAAGGATCAAAGCTGAACTTTCTAATTCCAACTAAAATTGTCCATGGTTTCTTTAAAATCAGAATAGTTTCTTGGAATTAACATATGCCACAGTTTTCTGTGACTAGTTGCTGCTCTATTTTTCTTTAGGGCATTAAGTCTAGAACAAATAACTGTTTGGAAAAGTTTGATTTCACTAAATAATTTATAGAGATTTTCACTATGTAATATTTTTCACTTAAAATTTAAGGAATGAAACTATCAAAAATATATCTATTAAGTAGTTACTTTTCAAGGTAAAAGCAACTGATAAAGGAAAAGGACTAAAAGAGTTTAAGCTGATACTTCACAAAGCATTACACACCTGGGCAGCTCTGAAAGGGCTGTTTCTCACTGAACATTTTCACTAATATAAAATTAGAGGGGAGGGGAGGTTATTTTGAAAAGAGTCAGAGTTACAGGTATTTGGGGTAAATTAATTATGACATTATAATCCGGTAATAACCATACTTAGGGGCTGACAGGACAAGCAGCAGACATTTGTTAGGGCTGAGAACCAGCGGTGTCTTATCCCGCCCCTGGCTGGACAGTTTCCACCTCAGCTTAGACACCAGGTATATTAGAGAACTGCGTCCAGAGAACTGGAATGGAGGTAGTTCTAGAAAGTCTGAGGGCTTAGGGAACGTGCAAAATCTGCTTTTTTTTCTAATCAGTGCACTGGGGCAAAGTTTGCTTTAATGGAGCACTATAACCAGAAAACTGTCTTAACAGACAGAAACCAGAAAACTAAATATCTAAATGCAGACAGAGCAGGGGAACTAGAAAAGCTCCAGCTGCCCTGCAAGCAGCTGTTCTTTTACAACTAAGTCAAAATATTGATACACATTACTTCATTCTACTACGGTAGCATTCATTTTTCATGGCGACATCTGAGAAATGTTACTGGACCATTGGACAAAACAATCTTTTGGCCACTGTGACTATAGTCACAGAGGGACATGGTACACATACTAAGAACAAAAAACCTGGCAGAAAAAGCAGGCTGTCTAGGTATGTCTTAGCATTACTCAGTGGCCTTTTGTTATATTATTTGCTATTAATTTAGCTACTTCAATTAGATCCTTAGTGCCCTAAACTTGAAATGGTAGAGATCCAGCTCATGGTCACCATTCACAGAAACAGCGGTGAGTCTCATCTGTGGACCAAGTGATCAGTACCTTTGGTGTTGAAGATGATAGCATGCTGGTTTATGGGTTAAGAACTGTACAGTTTCACTTAAAAAGTCATGTAAAAGGTACTAGAGCAGTCTGGAATAAGCTGAAATTTAGGGATTGGAAGATATGGGGTTTTAAGTTCTGATCTTATCACTTAATAGTTATGTGACCTTGCATTTGTCCCTTGACATCTGGGTCTGTTACCAAGTCTCTAAAAATAGGAAGGTTAATATTCTTTTTCACAGGGCTGTTGAATCAACAGAAAATACGTGTTATGTACACTATGTTTTAGTAAATGTGTAAAACTACCATTTAAACTTTTAAAAACTTCATACTATGGAAAGGTTAGGGACTTAAAATACATTCCTTCCACAAATTAAGACTATTTGAATCTTTAATAATTAATCAGCAATAAATGCCGTGCACAGAGAAGTGTGTTTTGCCGATTTTTAAAAAAATAATTTATGTGCTGGGTCTTTGCTGCTGAGTGGGCTTTCCCCTAGTTGCGGAGAGCAGGGGCTACTTTCTAGCTGCGGGGCGAGGGCTGCTCTTTGCCGTGGCTCCTCGCTGTGCAGCGTGGTCTCTAAGGCACAGGGCCTCAGCAGCTGCAGCTTCTTGACTCTACAGCACAGGCCCCAGAGTTGTGGTGCATGGGCTTAGTCCCTCCGTGGCGTGTGAGATCTTCCTGGATGAGGGATCGAACCCATGTCTCCTGCATTGGTAGGCAGATTCTTTACCACTGAGCCACCAGGAAAGCCCCTTGCTGTTTATTTTTTAAATAAGTTAACTCACCAAATATATTATGTAGCCAAGTAAGCTCTCGGTGCTCACCAAATAGCTACATTTCCTGTGTCTTCCAGTCTTGTTTTTGTTGTTAGGATGGAGCTGCAGGCCTAGGTTCTGGATGAAGTAATGTGTAGAAAGCATGTCTCTTTCAGATCTGGTTCTTAATAGCCAACATCACCAACCGGTCTGCTTTTTCCAGATTCGACAACACTGTGGGCCATGTGATCCAGACGGCATAAAGATGCAGGCAAGACTGCCCAATCCACATTGATCATTTCATAAGCAAGAATTCAATCTTTGTACTTAGCCACACCAGTTTGGTATTTTTCATTGTAGAATAGCTTACTCTATTCCAATGCCCTGTGTGAAGAATCAAACTACATCAGATTGGAAATCAACCCAAAAAGGTGCCTACCACTACTGAGAAAGACAAGTTTAAGTATTGTGACCTGAAATTTAGTCCATTCATGCCAATGAAGCAATGTGTTTCATTATACGAGTATAAATAATACTTATTTCATTAGTATCTCACATCGCTCATTAACAAATACCCCATGCCCACTATGCATTGAGCATCTTACAAGGTACAAGTATTTCTGGATGTAAAAATATGAGTATGGAAGAGGATCTCTACCAGGATCTTTATATATCACTGGCATTACAGTACCCCCTGAGACCTCTGAAATGAGGTATTTATAAATGTTAAAAAAAAAAAAAAAACACTCAAGTAAAATATTTTATATAAATCAAATAATTTAATTAGTTCCATTCCACTTTAATCTACATCCAACCTGAAAAAAAAAATGCATCATATTTAGAGAAATGACCAGGATAATCTATCTCATTATCCTTATCTACATGGCCCAAATCTTTGCAAATTCTTTCTCTATTAGATAATAATACATGTTCTTGTGGGCAGTAATTCTTAATGCTGCTTTGCAGGTATTTTGATTGTAGAAAACAAAACCCAACACCCAACAAAAACAAAATAATATATTAATTACATAGTTCTTCCCATAGGAAATAACGCAAAGACTCTAACTAGAAGCTTGCCACAGCATTGTTATGAGATGGATATACAGTCCTGGAATAGAACAATCAGTCCAGGGTTATCACCAGACTAAACATCTGAACAGCATTTCCCATCATTTACGACAATTTAGGTATTTTATAGCTGGTCTTTCACTCAACCCAGAGATTCTCAGTGGCAGAGAGCATTAGTTGTCTTTCTCTCCCTAGTAACTGACTAGAAGGTATTAATAAGGCCTGAGACAGCAGGTACTTTATTTGTTTGTGAAAAGACTTTTTAAAATTAAGGATAAACATAGGGAAAAAATATATTTACTAGACTTCCATGACTCACACGTATATTTTAAATACAATCTAGAAACAAGAACATGATTTACATCAGGCAACAAGGCATTTTAAGACTTTTAGAATGGGGACTCACACAGGGGCTTCCTAGCTCACAGTGTGCAAAACCTCTCTCTGCATCCCAGGTGTTTTCAGACTCCATCAGGGTGGGTCAAGACTGGATTCCAGGGTGCTTTCCTTCTCACCATGCACCGTGAAATATGTTTTCCCAGAAAACCTGTTACACCACAAGCCTATGAACAAGCCTGGTCAGCAAAGGTAGGAAAAATGGAACCTTTAAGTAATGATAGTATTTTAATTATACTATGAAGGAAACATTTTGCTGCGGACTAGTCTGTGAATCTAAACATTTAATGCATTGCTTCTATAAGAAAATACCTATTTATTAAGTTTAATTTTTATCTTAATTTCCTGGTAGGATTATTCTTCTATTAAGTTTCTCATCATATACTGAAGATACAAAAATTTAAGAGTAGGAAGTAAAATTTTTCTCTATTTCCTTTGCCACTTTTATGCTTTGAAAATTCAAAATGGGTATGCTAGGCAAAAACAAATAAGGCACAAAATATTTCAGATTTGCATCCTAATAAACAAGAAGACATTTAAGATGGTCAGGAGGACTTTCAAGCAAAAGTGAACATGGTACTCTCATGCACCATCATGGCTAAATGCAAGACTGCCACATGGCTGAACTACCCATACACTGCAAATACCTACAGAAGGAAGGGAAACAAAATTTAGTAGTTTTATGTGTGGACTCAGGAGTTATCCAGCATGGAAACCTTTGTAACATTCTGGGAAGCTTTGCGTAACTAGGAACCATTGTTGAAACGTAAAGCAAACTGACACTGTTAAGTAAAACACACGACTTTCGGCAGACTTTCGGCAGATCTATGCACGTATCAGAAGTATGATAACCCTGGCTTTCATTTTATTGTTCCTTTCACACCTGAGATTTCAAAGTAAGTCTCAAGGGAATTTTTCTTTTCAATAAGAGAATTCAACCAACTTTAAAATGGAAAGAAAAAACATGCTGCTTTGTAGAAATCCATCACCATGGAATGCAACATTCCCTAAAATAAGATCTACTTTAAAAATTAGAACGAGTTTCTAGCCAAGTACATCATGGAAACCCCTGAAAAAAAAAAAAACACCCAATTCTTGACAAATATATCACTATTTAGAAAATTTGACTGCTTTTCTTTGATATCATTATTGCTCAGTTCAATTCAGTTAGTTGCTCAGTTGTGTCCGACTCTTTGCGAGTAGCCAAAGAATTATACAACCAGCTGTTTCTTCCTTTGGAATATGGTACTATTTCTGAAATTCTGCATAATTTCTAATATTTTAAATGGTAAAGAAAGGGCATGCACCAAGCTGAATGTAGTGAGGGACTAATTTGCTTTTGCTCAAGAGCCAGCTTTTTGAGACTGTAACTGTGGTACTTTCACTAATGTCTTATAAAATACTCAATGATATGCTACTAACCCTGAAAAAGTTTTCTATACAGTGAGTAGGTGACAAAAGTACTATTTAACATGACAAATTTTAATGGGACAGCCACAACCAGGTGAGTGAATATAAATGGTTAGAACTGCTAGAAAATGGGAAGGCAGATGGTCCTCAACTACAATACCTGCAGCAAGGACTGGATATGTGTAGGTTTCTACATGCAGAGATAAATAAGGGTACTTAAAGCTTTCTGATGAAAATCCTGGAAAGGGCTTGAGCCCACACTTACATTATTCTTACTATAAATAATAACAATAATAACAACCATGAAGAAACATGCAATTAGTCCTGAAAATAAAACAAGTCTGTCCAGAGTATCATAGTATCTGGACTATAAAATCTGATCATTTATGTTGTCAGATGTCCTTATTACTAAATATCTCATTGAAAAATTATTAAAGAATTACTGGCAACTATACAAAGCCTTTGCTGGTACAGGCATTACAGTATGGGTACCCATCTGGTAAAGAAAATATCACCACCCAAACATCCTAAATATCAGTATCTTCTAACACGCAAGTATCCTAAGCCAATACTCTTAAACTGTTTTATCCCAAGGTACTCTTGTCATCTTACCTCTATTACCCTAAAATCAACAGTCCTTTGAAAAATTATAATATCCTTCATATTAAAAAAATCCAATGCTGTAGAAATCTCAAAAATGGAATGTTAGTAATGTTAATTATCTAAAGAACTTGGCTTCATGGAATAGCTTTTGAGTATTTATTGCTCAGATGGGTTCAAAAAATTCTTAAACATAATGTGGCAATGGCTTTCATATATCTGTAAGAGAATATCACTAATAAAAATTTACTGGCATGAAATACTCTAATTATGGATGTGTAAAATCTTTAAATCTTAAAACCTCAACATAATCATGTATATCTATGTACAAAACATACATAAACTTCACTTTATTTAAAACATATGAAAGAGGGAATTTCAAATCACATTAAACATAATAAATATAGAACTTGCTTTGTTAAAAATCTACAGTATACATTCAAGGAAAGGCTAAACTTCCAATGCCAACTATGTATGAGACAAAATTAAACATTTACAATAATCAGTTTCCTAAAAGTGCTATTTTTAATACCTATAATAGGAAACTCATTCTAGTGCTTTGTTTCCACCCAAACGTGTATACATTCCTTTATTCACAGAACCAGATGCTTCTGTTACTAAAAATACATATCCAAAGTTTTTATATCCTTTTAAATAGATTTAACATTTTAGCTCTTTGGGGGAGGAACAGGGAAGTCCAAACAAACAACACAGACGATCTTAAATTATTAAGAGATCACTGACTTTATAACATGCCCTGTTTCAACTCAGATGTAAAATCTGATGACCATGTTAATGAAAAAAAAACTCCCTGTTCATATATCTAAGGTAAGTCATCCTTCTCTACATGAGAATTTGTGTAGGTCGAGGAGCATCCACTATAGCAAACTTCCTGTGACCCAGGCCTTGACGACATGCTCCATTTCTGATGTGCACATTCTCTTCCAACCTGATTTGGCTTAGTTTCTTCAGGGGTGATATTCAGTACATTGATTGAACTGCTGGGGAAAGAAAGGCAGGTCTTAATCATCATTTCCTCCTCCCTTCATACCTTAGATGTGCCTGAATGTCTAAAATCTGATTTCTCCCTTGCCCCATGCTAAATAAAAATTTTCAGGACACACTGGTCAAGAACATACAAGTGCTTTAACATGGTCTAATTTATCACTTTGATCTATCCACCTATTTATTTATCTGTTCAGTCTACTCTGAAGGTTGCTACCCAACCAGAGCCTAAGGTAGATAGATAACACGTGAGTTTTGAAAGCTAATGTCTCCCATACCACAATGTTCTAGTCTTTTTATGCTTTCTTTCTTCACTCATCGATTTGTTCATGCACACTTTCGTCTTCCATCCATTCAGCCATGCAGATATTTAATGAGTGCCTACAAAGTAGTTAAGAGTCCAGACCCTGAACAGATGGTTTAGGTTCACATCCCAGCTGGACCACTTAGTACATCATTTCTGGCAAGTTAAACCCTGCTGTTCTTCAGCTGTAAAGTGGAAATAATAAAAGAACCCATAACTCATAGGATTGGGGTGGAAACTAAATAAGTTAACACACACTAAGCACGTGTGATGATGCTTAATTAACTTTAAGTGTCAGACAACAACAATTTAAGTGTCTGAACACTGATACAGACCCCTGGCTTCAGACATACTGTCTGAGGTATGCTCTGCAACCAGCCTCAAAACAAGGAAATTTAGTTAAATGATTACTTACAAATCATGGGGCTGAGTCAATGAACAATACATTTTTATCAACTGAATAGCTTAATTTTCTCCATAAAACTTACTTTTCCTAAATATTCATTTTTTGGTGTGACTTTGGTTAATAACTCAACCTTATAATGTGGAAATCCTTAAAAAAATTAAGTTGCTTTAATTCTGAAACTCTAAACCAAAAACATTGACAATTTTATACTTATTTGCTTAAAAAAGAAAGGCACTTGCTTATAAATCAGATTCAGAATCCCTGCCATCTCAGATGAGATTAGATCAATGGTGAACTAAGTTTCCTACATAACTTAGCATGTGAGTTACTTTACCTGGAATGCAGGTACAGCTGATATATAAAATTCCACTCTACAGTGAAGGAGGAATGAAGATTCTGCTAGAGAAATTAGGCATAAATACTCCTAATTATTTTGCCATAATCTTATTACAAAGTGCTTTAGGAGCAGGAATACAAATACACCAAATAATTAAAAATTTCAAGGCCGATGTCAAGCTGCACAGCTTCTTGCCTGATAACTAGTCACATGAGTCTTATTTAATCCTCAGAGGCCAGCAACTGGGAATAGCTTAATGAAATCTTCTTAAGCTCCAAAATTCTGTTTCTATGCCACTAACACTGTTCAGTGTAGCTCTTGGAATACAAATAACAGAAAAGCATTTTTATAACCCATTTATGTTTACATATATTTTTATATGCTGCTACTGAAGGTTTCAGTTCAGTCGCTCAGTCGTGTCCGACTCTTTGCGACCCCATGAACCACAGCACACCAGGCCTCCCTGTCCATCACCAACTCCCGGAGTCTACCCAAACCCATGTTGTTCGAGTCAGTGATGTCATCCAACCACGTACAAAGGACCAAGTACTGTTTTAAGTGTTTTACATATGCTGGCACTGAATCTCACACAGTACCCTTAACGTAGGTACTAAATGTTGGCCTTTTTATTAAACATAGTGTCTTCAAGGAGTTATAACTAAAAACAATTATGTAAAAAAGTAAAAATTTTAAATATGTAAATATAATTGAGGCAACTAGGCTACATTCTCTTCTAGATACAGAATGCATTATAAATTATAAGCATACTTCATTTTATTGCATTTCAACTTACTGTACTTTGCAGATACTGTGTTTTTTACAAACTTAGCTTAAGACCAAGGAAAATACTGAAATGTAGCAGTTAAAAGCAGTTATCGGGCTTTGCTGGGGGATGTGGAGCAACTCTGCCTGTCCTGTCACCCTTGGACACAGATCCTCATCACCAGCCAAGGGAAGGTAGCTTTTCTCAGATCCTTGTCCTTCCAAGTCCATAACAAGGGCATACCACATGAGATGCTTAAAGAGGTACTCTACAGAAACTATCAATGCAATATGCTTCTATTCAATACAATTAAAATATTAAGTAACTCTTGGAATAAGATTGTACTTTAAGTTGTATTTTACCTGTGAAATAAAAAGAATCACATATATATATGAGTCAGCTCCCAGAAGACAGGGACCAGAGCTACCTTCCTCACTACTGTATTCCCCTCACTAATAGGCACCTCTATGTAATAATGGATACCCAATAAATATGTGTACAATGAATGAGTCAATCTACTCAGTTCCTCTTCAGAGCCTTTACTATTGCTCATCCTAGACAGGCCAACTCTCCCTTCACAACGCCTCTCTAGCACTGTAACAAGTGTGCGAGGAGATCACCTACAGGCCAGTACCTATGTTCAGATGCACAAGAACGTGTCTGGCAAAAGTCGGAAGTAGAAGGAGAAGCAGGAAGAGACTTAGTCAGTTTAGACGTGCAAACTGGAGACCCGCTAGGCACACCGTGAGGCTTCTTTTGCCGTGACCTCGAGTGTAATGTAGGGGTGTCCCGATCAGAACCTGTTTTAAAAAAAAAAAGGAAGGAAGAAAAAAAGGCAGTACATATGAGGGAGCATTACCAATAAATACAGTGAAGGTAATCAACTAGGATTCTATTCTAGGTTCATTTGCAGCTCTAAGGGAGGGGTGAGAACAAATTAATCTGAGTATCTTCTGTATGTATGAGTGTAGTCTAGCTAATCTGGGGATCTTTGCTATGGTCAGTCCACAAACATTTAGGAGGATCTAGTTTAAAAAATATTTTTACATTGTGAATTTTCAAAACTTGACATTACACTCACAAAAGTTGTTTTGGGTATGCAAAGTCCTCCTATCATTTCTATTTTGGTTACAGTAAATTAAAATATCAAAGTTGACTTTTATTCCAATTAGAGAGTTCTTACTGGTGATTGCTAAAGTTATATATTAATAATCTACAGTACTTTATTTACATGTATTTTCAGATTAAAAAGCTTATGAAGTACTCACTTCCTGAGAAGGCACTGAAAAGTTTCACATTTTCTGAGTTCTGGTGGTCAAAGGTAGTCATATTTAAAAACTGTTGCTTTAACCAACTGGCTCTTTCTTCTTCAAATGCCTTTCTCTACCATAACAAGCAAACCAAAGAAATACTGATCAATATTTCAATATTCACACAGTTGCCATTTCACACATTTTCTCTAGGTATTTGTGTTTGCTCTCTGACTATCTCTATATATTAAGTCAAAGGAATTAACCTTAGAAAACTAAAATTAAATTTCATTTAAGAAAGCTGTTAAAAATAAAAATTCACCTGTTTCTCCTAATAAGTCAACTACTGTTTTCACATCAATTCTGAATAAATTCAAAAATATAACACAGAAAAATAGGCACATTAGCATAACTTTAAACATATAGAATATCAGCATAACTTTTGAACATACAAAACATGGTAAATATAAGATTACAAACAATAGAAAAATACCCCACTGTAAACTAATCACTTGGGGAAAAAAAGGCTTCACTGAGCACCACTCTCTTCCTCAAGCCAGACCCAGCGCCTCGCAGCCATCATCACTTGACCACAAGAGGGCGCATGTCAAACTCCCCCTTCCGAACAGGTGATGGATCCTAAATTCTCCCTCACCTCTCAGGTCTCTGTTTCCCACCTCTGTACTCAGTGAACTGAGGCAGGCAGATGCTCAAGCAGAGAATGGGGAGTGGTATGCAAAAGTATCTCTTGGAGTGGCATGGAGAGAGGTGAGGGATATGAGCTCAGAAACAGAGGTGATCCCATAAGACAGGAGAAAAGGCTGGCACAAACTGTTTCCTGAGGAAGATAATAGCTATAGATAACACAGAATTTCGTAATTAAGGAGGAAGGCCATGTCAGCCTCTTAAGATAACATACAGTCTTTCATTCATAAACATTAATACAAAATCACAGATCACCAGACATTTGAAGAAAAGTAATAGCATAAAAAAAAAAATGCCAGGAAAAATAAAGAGAACTGGCCATGGGTAAAGTTCAAGGCAAGTTTTTTTAAGATAACACAAATTATCAGACAGATTTACAAATATCTGTAAAATATAATGCCAGACACAAAACAAAAAATACACTATAAAACTTAAAAGATAAATTGTGAAGTAAAAACTCAGTGGATGAGTGAAAAATCAAATTGACCTTGCTGAATACCAGGTTGGTGACACACAAGATAAAAGAGAAAATATCCCCAAATTCGGAACATAAAGTCAATCTATAGATGTAGTCAGAAGGCCAAATATTTGTCTAGCAGAAGTTCCAGAATGCAAGAGAAGTCAGAGAAGGAAAAAATACAGAATTGAAGAAAATATCCCTAAACTGAAGAAATGTAGCATCTTCAGGTTAAAAGGAACTAACCAGACCTACCCTGGTAAAATTTCAGAACTCTTAGCTTAAGAACATAAAATTCCAAAAGCTTCCACAGAGAGGGAAAAACACAGCACAGCTGTCTAAAATCAGTGCAGGGTATATTATAACCAGGCTGCTCATGAGCAAAATAAAACAATGGAAGAATTAGAATAACTCAAAGTTTTGAAAGGAAAAGTTGGAAAACTAAATTCTATATCCAGGCAAATCAATCAAGTATGAATATATTTTTGGGTAGTCCAGAATTCAGAATATTTTTCACTCACACACACTTACGAAAAAATTACTCAAGAAGGTAATACAACAGATTGAAAAAGGAACCCAAGAAAGAGAATATGAGGTAGAAGTTGAATCTGATTCAGAAATCATCAAGAAAGCACACCAAAAAAAGTCAAAGAATTTACTACAGATTCCCTTCTGTGTGACAGTCTTAACAACAAAGAATATCTCATAGAAGTGTCCAAACATATTACTTGGCTATAGAATGAATAATATTTATATAATCACAATGTTATCAATGTTCTTTCTGGTTTTCAATTCTTAAATCTCAATCTTGGACAAAGTACTTACACTTGAATTTGTATTAAAAGTCAGAAAATAAATGTGATAACACTTAACAGTGAAAAACAGTATCACTGACAAAAATTGGGGAGTCGAGGGGTAAGAGCAGTGCAACAAGGATAACTACAAGGATGCCCTCATCTTTCACTTCAGGGATAAACCTATACTGTCTAACGTTGAGCAAACATGAAATGGAAGCATTAAACAAACTTAAAGTAAAACAATCAACCAGGAGAAACAGTTCTTTAAAAATTAGCTTAAAAAAGTAAAAATATTATGAAGAAATCATATGTATATGAGAAATACTGTAGATGGGAGCTATGGTAAGGGTACTAAACTACTTGTGTTTAGCAGTGGGGAATCAATAGGCTGACTGTAGGAAAAAAGGCTGAATTTTATTCAAGTTAAAATAGTTTTTCCCAGGAGAATCATAAACCTTCAATAGTGGTACCTCTAAGGAATGAAATTGTGAGAAGAGTGAAGGATACTTTCACACCTTGTAGCTTTTTGGAATGAGGTTTTTTTTTTTAGTTTTTTTTTTTAAATCATGTCCAGACATTACTTCTCTAATTTTGGAAAGGGATACAATGTATGTAATACACTACTAAATAAAAAAGCAAGCTGCTGAAGTGCACACACACACAGTTCATCCCTGGGTAAGGCAATGGCGAGAGAGACTTTCATGTATACTGTACTCTTCTTTCCCTTAAAAAAAAAAAACAAACCAAGACACTCTCTCGGTTGAACTCTCTCCTGATTTTACATCTACATTGAGATGACAGATGCCCAAAAGAAATCTCTTGTGTGAAGCTAAACTCTTAACAGTAGAAAGCTACCCAAAAGGCATGACAAATGGTTAGTTTTTTCAATATTAAAATTTTTTTCAATTCCCAAATCTGAAGGCAAAATGATATACCTCTATTATAGCTTCCATTTCAAGCTATTTCGTGAAATCACTGGTAAAATACTTGAGGAAATGTACAGCAAAGAAACAAAAAAATAAGAACCTCAATGCAGAAGCCTGGAGGCTTCTCCAGGACCTTCAAACATTCTACAAGGAAGGCCAATTGCTTAAAATACCTCCAATCCTAGGCGAATAGCTGCTTCTGTAAAGCTTCGTCTTTCCTTCTCAAAATTCTTTTTCTGCTCTTTAAATAGGGACCATTCTTCTTTGAGGCGCTCCTTTTCTTCCAACAAGTAACAGTCTCGTAGCAGTGAAGTGGTGTCATCATCACATGCAGTAGCGAGCTGCTGCTATTAAATTTTAAAACATAGTAAGTTCCAGAGGGTCCCTGCAACACTCCAACAAGTTGAAATGAAAGCAAGGGGAAAAAGCAAGCCAAACTTCAGGGGAAGGAGAGAGATGATAAAGAATCAGAAAGTCAATGGAAATGAGGAGCCTCATTTCCCAAATGCTTCTACTCTAAAAGGCAAAGCATCAACTAATGATGCTTTGTGGTCTACCTGCTAGCAAGCAGAGAACTTAGACTGTAAAACATCAAGTGCTACATATCTTACGAAATAAAGGAGTAAAAATCTAGTAAGATTCAATAAAATTCTGACCCTTCACAGGGGAGAAGAGCTTTAAAAGGTGTCTTGCATTTACCTGTAAAAGTTGCTGCTGCGTTTTAATCATCTCCTTACACTGTTGAATTTCTAACTCGAGCTTTTCAGTTTCCTGTTCATGGTCTTGTCGTGAGATTACATCTTCATCATTAAAACCTTCTAAGTGTACCTTTGAAACTAACACAAAACCAATAATTTGACATAAACCTTACAGTCTCCATTTTAGTTTATGGCATTTGGGGACATATACTTAAAAATCAAGAAATAAATTTAAAAATCAGAAAGGTTTTCCCTTTCTGGAATCTCAGAGGTTTTCTAAAAGGTAGTTATTTCCTTTGTCCTTTAAGAACTCCACTAGCTATAATAAAATAGAATAAAAGGTATATTACTTTTACACTAAAAAATTTTTAAAAGTAAGCAGCTATAATGAGTTCATGGTAACTATAAATTCATGCTATTTTTGGACTAAATGATATCCTTACTTACAAAGTTCTATTGCCAACATTTAACTTGTAATTTTTATTTATTCAAGATGATGTCCTAATTAGAAATGTTAACCTACATTTCCAGAAAAATTAAAATTCATAAACTATACTCTTTTGACACTTCCTCAAAGATCAGTGCAGGATTATAAATCTTGCTCTGTTATTAAATTTGACAAATATCAGGTCCAAAAATACTTCCTATTTACTAATAGACAGTGATGACTGAAATCAACAAAATCTCATGTAAATTAATTTTGATACTCTAACTGTTCTGACTTCACTTTTTAAGACAATTAGCATTGAGACTGTCATTTCTGACCATTTAGAATAAATTTTCTTTAAGTAGACTGCATTTACCTAACAGATGTCTTAATTTTCTTGATTTAAAAGCATGCAAAATTGAACAAATATAAAATATTAAGGATATACTCATCAACATAAATCTACTATGTATCTATAATGACAGGAAGTGGTTATCTAAAAATAATATATTGTTGAGTGAAAAAAGAACAGTGTAGAAAAAAACATGTAATATTCAATTTATGGTTTGTAGACATTTAAAATAAGCATTTTGCAAATGCAGAAAGGTCTAGAAAGGTATGCACAAAGCTGTTAAGTGTTACACATAGGGAACAGAGACATGACTATTCTCTTGGGTTAGCCAAAAAGTTTATTTGGATTTTTCCATAAGATCTTATGGACAAACCTGAATGAACTTTTTGGCCAACCCAATACCTTATATACTTCCTAACTGATATTTTGCATCAAATGTCTATTATCTTGAAAATAATTAAAAAATGAATTATTAGCAACCTATAAATATGCAAGTATCTAGGAATAATAATAAAAGGGCTTATATTTATAGTATATTATGATAATATTTCCTGATTGCCAAGATATAGTAAGAGACTCAGTTTACTTTATTCAGCTGTCTTCTGCACTCAGAATGGATGGACATAATATGTCCTTTTTTGAGAGATTCTGAAAGCTAAGTGTATTTTCTCAAACTGCACATCTGGAATTAGGCAGAATTTTGCTTTTCAAATTGCCAGGCTGAGCTAAGGACTTCCGTCTGAGCCCGTAACATGACTTTCCCAGGTAGCTTCCTGAGAGTCACAGCTTCCTCCATCTGCATTCAGGCGGTACTTACCTTGGTTATCAAGTTTTTCTACGTGACTTTTCAAAATTCTCCACTGTTTCCTGATGCTGTTGGTAAGCTGCTCTCTCACAGTCTCACAGGAAAGGTCCCATATACTCTCTCTACTCAGTTCCCCAGCATCCTCTTCAACATCAGAGATAACCTACAAGTGGCCAGAGATGAGAGGGAAAGACCAGTATCTTAAAAATGACTTTAGACACTCAGACAAAAATCATCAGACTGATGGTCAGAGACATGTACCAAAAAAATTTCTATGTTGTATGTGAAACATAAATGACCTAGTTCTTAACATAAATGTCTTGAGAAAAAATAATTAATACTGGAGATAGAAATTCCCCAGTTCAGGTCTCTTTAAACCTGAATTTGAAGCCAAATAGTTAGTGACAAAGGCATGGAGCTGTGTGAGGAAGAGTTATTCACAGCCTGTCTCATGTTGTGTGAGGTGCTTTCACATGCCCATTGGTCCGCAAATCATGTTAACATGTGAGGAAACTGAGGCTTAGAGAAGTAGACTAACTATCCCGAGGTCACACAGCTCTAATCCAACCTGCTTCCAATTTTGGCTGTTCAGACAACTGAAACTGTGAAAAAATCTCCAAAGTAAAAGCAACTATTAATCCTATTTTTCTCAAATAATTTTTAAAATGAAATTGGAAATATTTTTCTCTGTATTCTACCAGGACATTAAATCACTGGAAACTGTAGCAACCTTTACTGATATGATCAAATAGAATCAAAGCAGGAGAAAGAACACAGGGAAGCAATACCAAATGTATACACGTCTAATAACCTGCATCTGCATGAAATGGTCCTAACTTGTTATTAACATTCAGGAAAGTAGACATATATACTTAACTAATTTGAACAATAAATAAAAGAAGAAGAAAAGAGAAGATAAAAACAAAGAAGGGCTGATTAGACTGCTCCCACATGCAGAGATGGGAGGAGTGAGGTAGTGATGAAGTCTGAAGAACTGTATCAATATCTGAGGTCAGCAGTAGACTGACAGAGGTCAGGGTCTCCCAGGGGGCACATACAGGGAAAAGCCCAGGGTATGGCTCACTGTGACTCTGGTTCTGGAGCTAGCTGACAATTTTTCCAAGAAGCTACACCATTTCAAGAAATACAAGAACATTACAAATTCATTATTAAAATTAATAACTGCCACACATTAACAATTGCCAGATTGAATGTAAAACCATTAAATGAAAATTAAAAACACATTTAGCAAAAAAAAAAAAAAAAAAATCACCACACTTAACTTGAATTTTGGGTATATATTTTGGCTACAATTAAGTCAGCAAAATAATAAATGAAAACTTGGATGCTAACTAGGCATTCCAAAGTTATGTTTTACTAATGAGCCAAAATCTTTCCTTACAAGTAAGGAATGGCTGAATTACTTTTAGGAGAAAGTGGATCTAGAGAAAGATCTTCTAAAAATAAGAAATACACTTAATAGATTATTGTTTCTCCAAACTTCAGCATCTGAATTATGAAAAACTATACAGGATATTATCATTTGTATTAAATTTAATTTTTAAATTAATTTAATTTAAAAGACACTTGCTCCTTGGAAGAAAAGCAATGACAAACCCAGACAGCGCATTAAAAAGCAGAGACATTACTTTGCCGACAAAGGTCTGTCCAGTCAAAGCTATGGTCTGGTAGTCATGTATGGATGTGAGAGCGGAACCATAAAGGAGGCCGAATGACAAAGAAGTGATGCTTTTGAACTGCTGTTTGAGAAGATTCTTGAGAGTCCCTCGAAGTACAAGGAGATCAAACCAGTCCATCCTAAAGAAAATCAATCCTGAATACTCACTGGAAGGACTGATGCTGAAACTGAAGCACCAATGCTTTGGCCACCTGATGGGAAGAACTGACTCATCAGAAAAGATCCTGATGCTGGGAAAGATTGAGGGCAAGACAAGAAGGGGAAGACAGAGGATGAGATGGTTGGATGGCATCATCGACTTGACAGACCTGAGTTTGAGCAAGCTCTGAGAGATGGTGAAGGACAAGGAAGCCTTGTATGCTGCAGTCCACGGGGTCAAAAAGAGTCGGACACAACTGAGCGACAGAACAGTAACAACACTACTATCATTTCAGAAAGGTCTCCTTCACTTACCACCTACTTTTGCTGACTAGAAGTTGGTAATGAGAGGTGAGGAAAGGCTGGGCCCAAAACTGAATAACTAGAGGAGTTATAGAAACGATGCCAACCCTGGCAAAGTGTTAGTGAGTTATGAACTGACCCAAAGTGAAGGAAAACCTTTCAGAGAAAGGTTAATTGAGGGAATATAAGATGTCAACATCAAGCAGATCTCAAATTGGAGAGTCTAGAAGAACATTAAGGTTCTTTAAAGGAGAAATAAAAAGGTAGAAAATAAGCTTATCAGTAGGACTGATTTTTGATACTACAAAATAATCCTCAGATACAGGTTAAAAAGGGGCTTCCCAGGTGCTGCTAGTGGTAAAGAACCTGCCTGCCAATGCAGGAAACATAAGAGACATGGGTTCGATCCCTGGGTCAGGAAGAGCCCCTGGAGGAAAGCATAGCAACCCACTTTAGTATTCTTGCCTAGAGAACTCCATGGACAGAGGAGCCTGGGGGAGCTACAGTCCATGGGATCACAAAGAGTTGGACACAACTGAAGCAACTTAGCATGGCTCAGCACATGTTAAAAAACAAGTTTGGTGACTTCCTGGTAATTAGCTCTTTCCATCATTTTCATCATCATTTCATATTTTAGTTACTAATGCGAACTTGCCTAAATTTAAATTTCTATGTAAAGAACTAAGTTTAAAAAACTTTTCACCAATATGTGACTTGTTTTTTTCAGACCTCTACACATTAGGCCCTTATCAAATTATCTCCCTACGCTTTCTATCTCAAAAATACCTACTAAGGGCTAATTCAAATGTGACTTTCTCTGTGATGCCTTCCATAGTTGTTTTGTTTTATACACTGTACCACCCTATGTACCTGTTAATGTGTATAAAAATCACTTCTCTATATACCTATCTCTCTCAAAAAGAGCTTCTTGCAGGATGCAATGGTCTAAATGCTTGTGTTCTCTCAAAACTCATATGTTGAAATCCTAACCTCACAGCATTAACAGGTGGGTGACCTTAAGTAAGTGATTAGATCATGAAGGTGGAGCCTTCATAAATGGGGTTCCCATGAGTTCTCTTGCCTCTTCCCACCAGATGAGGACAAAAGTTAGCAATCCAACCAGGAAAAGGGCCCTCACAGACACCCACTCTGCTGGCATCCAGATTTTACATTTCCAGCCTCCAGAACTGTGAGAAAACATTTTGTTGTTTATAGGCCAACCAGTCTATGGGACTTTGCTTTAGCAGCCTGAACTAAGACAAAGCAAACAGTCAAAATCTTCTTAGCTTTTTCTTTCCAGGGATTAGAGCACATAATGGACATTCAATAAATTTATGGACCAAGTGATCATTTGGTTCCCAAAGTTAATAAACAGTCTCACTCTCTGCGAAGTAGAGCCTGCTGAAGTTACTGAAAACTGAAGCTACTTAAAGGATATTTGGCACAGTGCTTAAAAGCAGGAGTTGTGGAGTGAGACAGCCTTGGATTCAAATTCTAGTTTTGTCATATGTTGACACTGAACTGGCTTTTGTGCCTCCGTTTCCTCACCTACAAAAACAGGGACAATTACAGTACCAAAGCCATCAAATTATTATAAGACATAAGTAAGACAATGCTTATGAAGTGCTTTTCAGGGTGCTTGGCACAGATTGAGTCCCCAGAAAATCATTTCCATCATTTCCCACGGCATGTCAGGAAACTTAGAGAGACATTTTTTGGGGTTGTCAGAGTGACTGGGGGTAGCATAGCAGTCCAAAATATCAACAGTGACCTATCTACTGTTTTACTTGTTCTAATAAACAATCTGAAGACTGTATTAAGAGAGTAAAGAGCCACTTACAGTTCCTGTACTATCATCTGCTCTTTCTCTAGGTTTCTGCTTTTGGGGAGAAAGAAGAGAAATCATTTCCTTTTTCATTTGCTGAAGAACCTTCTTAAGTTCAGCATTTTCCATTAGGATTTGTTTCTGACGATATTCATAATCATTCAAGAGAATTTTATACATTTCATCTTCATTCCTGAGAAAGAAACTGTCAGTATGAAAATGCAGTAAAGAAAGGGAAGTCTGGTGAAATGTTTCAGTTTTAATCGTGCTTTACCTGGCTTCAGTTTTACCCGTCCTCCAGGAGCCTCTTTTCCCATCAACTCTCCCCACGTAATTTAAAACTTCCATAGCTACAAACATGAACACAAAGAACAAAACCAATTCTTACATTACATGTTTAAGTGTTTAAAACCCTAACACTCTATATGTATGAGGGACATAAGTTAACCTGGTATACAGATTAGGATTTGGGCTCAAACAGCCCAGATTTTAAGTTTCAATTCCATCACTCATAAACATCTTCGCAAGTTACTTAACTGCTAAGCCTGTTTCTTCATCAATGGGGTAGTAATAATGAAAGCATCTAAGAGCTGTTGTGAAGATTGAAAGAAACGTTAAAGTACTTAACATAGGAAGTACTTACTAAGCATTAATTTAATTATCATTATTAAATTTTATCATCAGGGTTGACACACTATGGCCTATAGGCAACTGCCTGATTTTTTTAATTAAATTTTTATTAGAACATAGCCTCACCATTTGTTTATATATCTTCTATAGCTACTTTTGCACTATAATGGTAGAGTGACAAAAGACCACAGGACCCACAAACATCAAAATACTGACTATGGGGACCTCGACAGAAAAAGTCTGCCATGCCCTGTATCTTGACCACCACTGACGTCGTCATCAAAGAAGTCAAGGTTCCTAACAGTATTAATGTGTCTTCTGCCCCAAGTGGAGATGAAAGCAGTTGACATAAAAAGGGATGAGATGAGAATAAGTATTGTAATTTTAAAGCTGATTAAAAAATCATTACAGAATGGTCATTTCCACTTGGGTTTGGAACAGGAAAAGAACGAGATACCCATAATAAAATGGCTCTGCTACAGAGTTAAATACTTAATAAACTTCTCTAAGTGTTACATTTTATACTTCTAGTATTTCATCCTGTTCTTTGTTATTTCTCTCATGTATGAATAAGAGGTTAACCAATCTTAAAAAGCATTAAGTGTCCAAACTGAGTTTAAGATTTATCATCTCAGAATACCTGGTTTCTAACCTTGTCTTAATTGCTAACTACTACTTTCATTTTTCAATTAATCTTAAACTGAAATGTTCAAATGACGGTAACAGTGCTCCTGTACTCCATGAGAGAGACCCAGTCCACGCTGAGCTGCTCGCTGCTAACAGGCTTGGCCACTGACAGCCGGAGACATCTGCTCCTCAGCTGTCGTGTGCAAGTCCAAGTTCAGAATAACAGATAATGTGGGTTAGGTGACGGTGTACAGTCCACTTGGAAACCACTCTTCAATAAATCAATGCACACATTTCCTGTTCCCTGAATCTTGGCAGGCCTGCATAACTTTATCTGTGTAGCTCTACTTTTGTGTCTCCGTAGTTCTATTTTTCTGAAGTGTAGTTTATTTACAATGCTGTGCTAATTTCTGCTGTAGAGCTAAATGACTCAGTTATACACACATATTCGTTCTTTTTTATATTCTTTCCCACTATGGTTTACCCCAGGAGACTGCATACAGTTCCCTGTGCTATAGTAGGATCTTCTTGTTTACTCATTCTAAATAGTTTGCATCTAGTAACCCCACACTTCCACTCCATCCCTCTCCTTCCCACCCTTCCCCCTGGCAACCACAAGTCTGTTTTCTATGTCTGTGAGCCTGTTTCTGTTTTATAGATAGGTTCATTTGTCCCATATTTTAGATTCCACATATAAGTGATATCATATGGTATTTGTCTTCCTCTTTCTGACTTACTTCACTTAATGATAATCTTTAGTTGTATCCATGTTGCTGCAAATGGCATTCTTTTTTATGGCTGAGTAGTGCAGTTCTATTTTTTAATCTACACTATTTACCTCAAAGCATGCATAAACTTAGATGAAGTGGTAAATTAAAGTTTCAAAAGAATAACAGAAAAAAGTATATTTTAGCAAATTTTAACTTTTACTATCAAACTGTACAACAAAGATGCACAGCTAAAGTAATTGAAAAGAACTCCAAGTGACATGAATTTGGCCTGATGAACAATTTTATGAAGTTAACTAAAAAATCACACATTTGAGACTCAGGAACTGATCCTAATTTCAATATCACAGTTCTTTGCTACAAAAGATTAGTCTGTCCTCTGGCTTAGCTCTCTTCTGTGGATTAATCCTACATCTGTCATGTTAAAAAAAATACATGCAATTCTTATATGCAACTAAAGTAGCAAAGCAAAAACACTATTTTTCAAGTAACCAGTTGTCTCAATTTCTAGTTCATATAGATATATACCATCTACAATCAGTTGTATAAAGAATGAAAATGACACTTCATGAATTACTGAGCTCAATCCCTCTACATTTCTTAGCGTAATACTAATTTATTTCCCTTTGTTTTATCTTAGCCAGCTGCTTTTACCAATTTTTTTATCCTTCTTGTTCATAACAAGTTGATGTAAACGTTCCTTTAGTTTGTTATATTCACGCTCTTTTCTCTTCATATCATGATTATATTGAGTAGCTCGACTTGCAATGATATTTTGTAATTTCTGCACCTAAAAAAAAAAAAAAGCATTTTTTATTAAATGAGTCCCTTTTGGATTGGTAAACTCAGTTAAAATTTACAAATTCAAAAGAAAGAAGTCATCCTAGAATTCAGCTCCTCATAGAATAGTTTAAAAATTATAGGATTATTCTTCCTTCTCTATAACCACTGGAAACCACTCTTTAAAACATCATTAAATAAAGCACATAAAATGTTTATTTTTTAATTCTGAAATTTCCAGAGCTTCTAACTCTCTAAATTATCTTCTACACCTTTCATCCTAGATACATAGATTCTGATCACTTAGAAACCACAATCTCTTATGGAAGTATTAATGTGATTAAAGCTTCATTTGAAATAAGCAGATCATTTGTAAGGACTTCCTTTTACCAGGACTTGAATCATTTTATTCCCTCTCAATCTGTGACAAGCCAAATTAGTCATGGCATGTGGCAGCAGATAAACAGGTTTGTTTTTCTCTGATCAAAAACAGTTCTCAAATTAGAGTAAGACAAACAGCAGGCAGAATCTGGTTCAGACATTTGCTAAGTTCATATTATATGCCAACCACTACTGGTCAATGTTTGTATCTGCTATGACTTCTTAGGCAGCCCTGGACGGGAAGTAAGTTCTATACAGACATTCTTTATCTCTGCTACAGATGATCATGTTTAACTTAGTCCTTACTAAAGAAGAACGATAGTCAAACCATTTCAAGTATAGTCAACAGAAACAAAATTTTCCATGAAATAACTCAAGGAAAAGTATACATAACCTTGTGGTTTAGGTAAGATACTTCATTACCCACTTACTAAATATACTACTACATAATCAAATATGGCAAAACAAACCTGTCTAAATCGCTATAAGGTTCAAGAAATATGTTCCCTTAGAAGTCTAATTATCATCAAAGCAACATATACAACACTGAAAATGTTCTGCTTTTACAGTGATCACGTGGTCAGAAGTCAAACCTCAGAGCAATAAAAACCTAGTGATTTCTTCTTATATAAATTCAAAGATAATTTCAAAAGCATTATTAGCTCTATAGGTCCAAATACCAAGTAATCAATAAAGCAAAAATGAGATTAGAATTATAATGTCTTCAGCCTAGAAATGAGATTTTTAATGTGAATTGCTTTTTTCAAACAGTAACTCGTGTGTTCATTTAGTCAACTGTCTCATTAGATGGACAATGTCAATATTTCAGAAAGTTCAGGAAGAAGCATTCAAGATACAAGTAAAGGTATGACAGAGAATAAAAGATCTGCATTTAAAGCACCCTTGTGTCTGATAAAAAGTGACTGTGCGTGTTGAGTCCAGGATGGATGGTATAGAACCCTGGATGTCACAAGCTGTGCAGACATACTAAGCCAGATAAACCCCTGGGGAGAGGGAGCTGGAGAAGGTTCCTGACCTCTCAGTTGGGCAACACAATATACACAGAGGTCTGCCATACCAATTTGACCCAGGATGAATAAACGGTTCTTTCTTGTTATAAAATTAAGTGACCATTACAGTCACTTCAAATTACAAACAAAAAAAAAAATTCACTTAAACTTTATCTGCAACAACTGACAACTCACCTCATCTTTCTCATTTTTCAGTAGCTGATGCAAATTCCTATTCTTGCATTGTAATTGTCTGTCTCTTTCCTGAAGACCAATCATTTCTCTCCTGGAGGTTTCCAGTTGTTCCTAAAACATTCGTATGCAATTTTGACTAAAATTAGCATTGGATTCAGAGCAACTGAATCCTTAAAAGATTAGTAAAAACAAGTTACATGCACTAGGATTTGTTACCTAAAATTGAAGTTCAGCAGCACACAAAATATTTAAAACATTATAAAGCTTGATACTATAGTTACAAATTTTAAATTTGGATAGCAAATTTTACTTAATTTAAATACCAATTTTAATATATATGCAAAAGACCTTCAAAGTAGATCCTTCGAAAGATCCTTCACCTATTCCAGTGATATTGCCACTGAACATTTTCATAATTTCTTTTTAATACTTTTTAACACTTCTAGGGCACACTCTTAAGAAAGATCCAGAAATGATCTGGAGCTAAGTCTGAAGACACGTGACTAAGCAAAGTAAAACACTCCAGGTCAGAAAAGGTGGGACTGCAGCATACCAGTCCTGCCTTGCAAATGGTAAACTCTGTCAAAACCTTTCCCCAAAGGCAATGGCAGCATTGCCAGAATCAATATAGGATTAAAATGTGTGTCTGTTAGTTGCACAGTCATGTCTGACTCTTTGTGACCCCGTGGACTGTAGCCTGCCAGGCTCCTCCATCCATGGGATTTTCCAGGCAAGAATAATGAAGTGGGTTGCCATCTCCTTCTCCAGGGGATCTTCTCGACCCAGGGATCGAAACTGGGCCTCCCGCATTGCAGGGGGATTCTTTACTGTCTGAGCCACTAGTGAAGCCCTGGGATTAAGATGTTCACTTTCAATTCATTTCACACATTTCCAGAGGAACTGTGCCAAAGTCTGTATGAAGCTGCTGGAATATTTTTAAATCCTCTCATCTTTATAAAATATGAAAGGCACTCGTGATGTCACAACTAACCACAAACAACCTGAATGATCTCTGTAACAATGGACCTCAAGAAAAATTTAGGAATATACTTAGATAGCTACAAGGTTGCCAAAATTTCCTATCATGCTTAAAACTTCCTATCATGCCAGATCATCTGGCACTGGGCCAGCTGACATGTCCCACACACATCAAATCAGATTCTCTCAGAGTCATCCCCACTTTACATGAACTCACCATCTTCTCTGCAAATCTGTTTCTTATCCCAGTGAATCATATCACCATCATCAGTAAATTCAAATCAGAGACCTGAACAATATCTTTAATTCATGACTCTCTTTTCCTCAAATTCAATTTTTCATAAAATTCTACTCATTCTACTTCTTGAGTTTTCCTCATATCTCACTCTTACTCTCTTCACTGGCACTTCCTCAGTTCAAGCCCCAAACCCCCCGGGACTGAGCAATTGCTAAGGACTGCTAAGAGATGACCTTTCCCCCAGGCTTTCTGAGCCCTTTCCCTCCATTCCTCTATCGTCTACACCCCCTTCTCTAATCTCTTCAATCAACTGCCAGATGGATAGTCACATGAGGCCTTGTGTTTATACTCCTTGGTGCCTCCAGGTTTCTGCACAATGCCTTTCATACCTGGAGATGGAGTCCCAGCCTCATGTCTTATTATTCTTCATCATATATCACATAGATCAGCCTCTACAAAGCTATTTTATGTTCCCTGAAAGGAAAATGCTCTCTCTTATCTCCATGTTTTTATATGGGTCATATGCTCTGCCTAGAATGGCTTTCCCAACACTAGTGAATTCTTTTTTATTAATTTATTTCTTTTAATTGGAGGCTAGTTACTTCACAATATTGTAGTGTTTTTGCCATACATTGACATGAATCAGCTATGGGTGTACCTGTGTTTCCCATCCTGAATTCCCCTTCCACCTCCCTCCCCATCCCATCCCTCAGGGTCGTCCCAGTGCACCAGCCCTGAGCACCCTATCTCATGTGTCAAACCTGGACTGGTGATCTATTTCACCCATGGTAATACACATGTTTCAATGCCAGTATCTCAAATCATCCCACCCTCACCTCCCAGAGAGTCCAAAAGTCTGTTCTTTACAAATCTGTGTCTCTTTTGCTGTCTCACATATAGGGTCATTGTTACCATCTTTCTAAGTTGCATATATATGTGTTAACATACTCTATTGGTGTTTTTCTTTCTGACTTATTCACTCTGTATAATAGGCTCCAGTTTCATCCACCTCATTAGAACTGATTCAAACGCATTCTTTTTAATAGCTGAGTAATAGTCCATTGTGTATATGTACCACAGCTTTCTTAACCATTCATCTGCCAATGGACATTTAGGTTGCTTCCATGTCCTAGCTATTGTAATATAGTGCTGTGATGAACACTGGGATACATGTGTCTCTTTCAATTCTTGTTTCCTCAGTGTGTATGCCTAGCAGTAGGATTGTTGGGTTTTTTTTTTTTTTTTTTTTGATTGTTGGGTTTTATGACAGTTCTATTTCCAGTTTTTTCAGGAATCTCCACACTGCTTTTCATAGTGGCTGTACTAGTTTGCATTCCCACCAACAATATAAGAAGGTTCCCTTTTCTCCGCACCCTCTCTAGCATTTATTGTTTGTAGACTTTTTGATAGCAGCCATTCTGACCAGCGTGAGACAGTACCTCGTTGTCATTTTTATTTGCATTTCTCTAATAATAAATGATGTTGAGCATCTTTTCAAGTGTTTGTTAGACATCTGTATGTCTTCTTTGGAGAAATGTCTGTTTAGTTCTTTGGCCCATTTTTTGAATGGGTCATTTATTTTTCTGGAATTGAGCTGCAGGAGCTGCTTGTATATTTTTGAGATTAAATCTTTGTTAGTTGCTTCGTTTGCTATTATTTTCTCCCATTCTGAAGGCTGTCTTTTCACCTTGCTTATAGTTTCCTTCATTGTGCAAAAGCTTTTAAGTTTAATTAGGTCCCATTTGTTTATTTTTGCTTTTATTTCCATTACTCTCGGAGGTGGGTCATAGAGGATCCTGCTATGATTTAAGTCAGAGTGTTGTGCCTATGTTTTCCTCTTGGAGTTTTATAGTTTCTGGTCTTACATTTAGATCTTTTATGCATTTTGAGTTTATTTTTGTGTATGGTGTTAGAAAGTGTTCTAGTTTCATTCTTTTACAGGTGGTTGACCAGTTTTCCCAGCACCATGTTGGAGAGATTGTCTTTTCTCTATTGTATATTGGAGAAGGCAATGCAACCCACTCTAGTACCCTTGCCTGGAAAATCCCATGGACGGCAGAGCCTGGTAGGCTGCAGTCCATGGGGTCGCAAAGAGTTGGACACGACTGAGCGACTTCACTTTCACTTTTCACTTTCACGCATTGGAGATGGAAATGGTAACCCACTGCAGTGTTCTTGCCTGGAGAATCACAGGGATGGCGGGGCCTGGTAGGCTTCCGTATATGGGGTCACACAGAGTCGGACATGACTAAAGCAACTTGGCAGCAGCAGCAGCTATTCTATATTCTTGCCTCCTTTGTCAAAGATAAGGTGTCTATAGGTGCATAGATTTATCTCTGGGCCTTCTATTTTGTTTCATTGATATATACTTCTGTCTTTGTGCCAGTACCATACTGTCTTAATGACTGTAGCTAAATAGTCTGAAGCCAGGTAGGTTGATTCCTCCAGTTCCAGTCTTCTTTCTCAAGAGTGCTTTGGCTATTAGAGGTTTTTTGTATTTCCATACAAATTGTGAAATTATTTGTTCTAGTTCTCTGAAAAATACCGTTGGTAGCCTGATAGGGACTGCACTGAATCTACAGATTGCTTTGGGTAGTATACTCATTTTCACTATATTGAATGTTCCAATCCATGAACATGATATATTTCTCCATCTATTGGTGTCATCTTTGATTTCTTTTATCAGTGTTTTATAGTTTTCTATATATAGGTCTTTTGTTTCTTTAGGTAGATTTACTCCTAAGTATTTCATTCTTTTCATTGCAATGGTGAATGGAATTGTTTCCTTAATTTCTCTGTTTTCTCATTGTTAGTCTATAGGAATGCAAGAGATTTCTGTGTGTTAATTTTATATCCTGCAACTTTACTATATTCATTGATTACCTCTGGTAATTTTCTGGTGTTGTCTTTAGGGTTTTCTATGTAGAGGATCATGTCATCTGCAAACAGTGAGTTTTACTTCTTCTCTTCTAATCTGGATTCCTTTTATTTCTTTTCCTTCTCTGACTGCTGTGGCTAAAACTTCCAAAACTATGTTGAATAGTAGTGGTGAAAATGGGCACCCTTGCCTTGTTCCTGACCTTAGGGGAAATGTTTTCAATTTTTTACCATTGAGGATAATGTTTGCTATGGGTTTATCATATATGGCTATTATTATGTTGAGGTATGTTCCTTCTATTCCTGCTTTCTGGAGGGTTTTTATCATGAAGGGATGTTGAGTTTTGTCAAAGGCTTTCTCTGCATCTATTGAGATAATCATATGGTTTTTAATCTTTCAATTTGTTAATGTGGTGTAACACATTGATTGATTTGCGAATACTGAAGAATCCTTGCATCCCTGGGGTAAAGCCCACTTGGTCGTGATGTATGATCTTTTTAATATGTTGTTGAATTGTTTGCTAGAATTTTGTTGAGCATTTTTGCATCTATGTTCATCAGTAACATTGGCCTGTATTTTCTTTTTTTGTGGCATCTTTGTCTGGTTTTGGTCTTAGGGTGATGGTGGCCTCATAGAATGAGTTTGGCAGTTTACCTACCTCTGCAATTTTCTGGAAGAGTTTGAGTAGGATAGGTGTTAGCTCTTCTCTAAATTTTTGGCAGAATTCATCTGTGAAGCCATCTGATCCTGGGCTTTTGTTGGAAGATCTTTTTATTACAGTTTCAATTTCCATTCTTATGATGGGTCCATTAAGATTTTCTATTTCTTCCTGGTTCAGTTTTGGAAGGTTATACTTTTCTAAGAATTTGTCTATTTCTTCCAAGTTGTTCATTTTATTGTCATATGGTTGCTGATAGTAGTCTCTTATGATCCTTTGTATTTCTGTGTTATCTGTTGTGATTTCTCCATTTTCATTTCTAATTTTGTTGATTTGATTCTTCTCCCTTTTTTTCTTGATGAGTTTGGCTAATGGTTTGTCTATATTATTTATCTTCTCAAAGAACCAGCTTTTAGTTGTGTTGATTTTTGCTATAGTTTCCTTTGTTTCTTTTTCATTTATTTCTGCCCTAATGTCTTATGATTTCTTTCCTTCTAATCCTGGGGTTCTTCATTTCTTCCTTTTCTAGTTGTGTTAGGTGTAAAGTTGGGTTATTCATTCAATTTTTCTCTTGTTCCTTGAGGTAAGCTACATAGAGTTACATAGAGAAGAGAAGAGGGAGGAGGAAGATAGAGGTGATCAGGAGGAGAAGAGGGGGAGTCAAAAGGGGAGAGAGCAATCTAGCCAGTAATCAGTTCCCTAAGTGTTCCCCACAGCCCAGAACACCCAGAGAGATCCACAGAATTAAGTAGAGTAGAGAAGGGGCAGGGAGGAGACAGAGGTGACCTGGGGGAGAAAAGGGAGAGTCAAAAGGGGAGAGAGCAATCAAGCCAGTAGCCACACCCCTAAGTAAAAATGGGTACTGAAGATTAAGACTCTTAAAGGTACAAAACTGATAATACCAAAAAGCAAAGATTAAAAATCTAGAGTAGATGTTAGACTCTCAAAAATACAATATTAAAAATATAAAACAAAATCAATCACAAAAATTATAAAATATATGTATATGAAATTTGCTTTAAGAATAGGGTCTTTTTTTTGCAGGGTAATAGTAGGTTATAAAAATGAAAATTAAAGAACTTAAAAAAATTTTTTTTAATTTTAAAAATTATAATAGTAAAAATATATCTAGGAATTTCTCTGGAGCTCTTCAGGGCAGTGTGGGGTCAGTTCAGTTTCAGATAATTCTTCATTCCAGCTTATACTTCTCAAGGTCTATAGGTCCTTCTCAAGCTTCTTAGTCAATGCTAACTACAGGGTTTTAATCTGTTGCACCTGTCACTTCCAGAGCGGTTCCCACTTCTTTACTTTGGTTTCCTCTGTTTGCAAGTCTCTTCAGTGTCTAATTTCCACCCTGACACAAGCGGGCGAAGGTGGTCCCTTATTTGGGCTCACTTTGCTGTGGGGAGGGAGAACACTGCAAACAAATATCACTGGTGTGCATGGGGAGTGTTCACAGTGTATGGACCACAGTGGGTTTGCCCCAGCTCACAGTGGCGTGTGCTTTCCCGGTCTACACTGCTCAGGCTCCAGGTTGCTCTGCAGGGGAACTGTCCAAACTGGGCCCTGCATTTCCTGCACTTCTCAGGTCTGAGCTGCTCAGGTTCAGGTTCTCAGTACCCCCACAAAGTCACAGACTCGGTTGGGCGTGCGTTTTGTGCCCTTCCCAGGTCTAGCAGCTCAGGTGACCAGGTGCTTGGTGAGCACACTGTCCCAGGTGGGCTGTGTGTCTTAATCACCTCCCCAGTCCCAGCAGCTTGGTTTCCTGGTTACACCACGAGAGCGCTGTCTCAGGTGTGCTGTGTGTCTCCTCTGGGGAGCTGATCTCTGGCTGCAACCCTCCTGGCAGATGTCAACCATCTAGAATCCCAGGAAGACTTGGGTTAGCAACCGGGAGCCTGCTCACAGTTTGGTGGAGGATGCTGGTCTCTGGGGCCAAGATTGCCCCTTGCCTTCTGACTCTGGCTGTCACCAGCCTGCCTCTCTGCCTCTGGTAGGGGGACAGGCCCATCTGCAGCTGACTAGCTCTCCTTTGGTATTTGCTCAATCTTTTGTTATGTGAGCATGCCAGGCTGCATCTTAGGTTAGAGTTTTTCACAGTCAAGTTTTATTTTCCTCTTTCTGGCTATCCCACAGTTTGGGTTGCTATCTCACATTAGGTCCCTCAGACTGTCTTCAGGGCGTCCAGGTCCGGTCCTTACGTAAGCATGCAACCCGTAAGCATGCAACCCGTGCCTCCCTGTCCAGCCCACACTTGCTGGTGGCAGACGCGAGCATCTGGGCTAGTTCTCTGCTGGGAGTTGCGGTTAGGCGCATATTCTGGGGTGTTTTTTTTCCTTCCCCTCCCAGTTATGTTGCCCTCTGAGATTCCAAAACTCCCCACAGACCCGCCAGAGAGAGGGTTTCCTGCTGTTTGGAAACTTCTCCTTCTTCACGACTCCCTCCCTAGGTCAGGTCTCCATCCCTAACTCTTTGCTCTCTCTTTTTGTCTTTTATATTTTTCCCTACCTCCTTTTGAAGAGAATGGGCTGCCTTTCTGGGTGCCTGGTGTCCTCTACCAGCCTTCAGAAGTTGTTTTGTGCAAGTTGCTTAGCATTCAAATGGCCTTTTGATGAATTTGTGGGGGAGAGAGTGGTCTCCCCATACTATTCCTCTGCCATCTTAGAACCGCCTCCACTAGTGAATTTTTATTCATTCCTCAAATCTCAGATCAAGTGTTACTTCTCTCTGTAGCAATCCTTACCTCCCACACCAAGAATGAGTGGAGCTAATATTTACAGATCAACCTGTCCCTTTACAATGGATTATAATCTCTCTGCAAACAGGGACTGGGTTCTACTCATATTTGACACCCAGTGACTACCACAAAAATACTCCATAAATTCTGCTCAACAAATTGAGTGAGTAATGGTTAGATCTAGAAACTTTTCTAGGATAGATCAGCATCTTCTCCCCTTGTACACACATTTCTGTCCAGAGCTAATCCAAAATACCTGATTTTGGCCCAGGTCAAATCCCAAATTAGAAGATCTCTTGGGAACACTCTATGCTTTGGGTCATCCCAATGAATGATCATTTCTTAGAGGAAAGGTTCAATAGTCCCAGATTATCAATATTACTATATAATTCAGTTCAGTTCAGAACTATGTAATTACTCACTAGCTATTTACAAGACAGTGAACCAAAGGTGCCCAGAAAAAGTTTTAATGCAGAATAACTCCCTTCTAGGACTTAAAACTTTGGGTCTATCTGATTCATAAGATCTTCCATAAGTTTCTCTGATTAAAACTAAAATCCACAGCCTTTTAATAAGGTTGGAGGGTATCAACTATCCCATCACAGTTCCCCAATCAGCCACTGCATACAGAATGTACAAAAACCTAATATTATTATAACAGAGAAAATATACTGTTACATATGTATATGAGCTAAGACAACAACATACAATAGTATTTGGCAGTGACAGGCTGGTATGGGCAAGGGCTGCTGAGAAGCTAAAATGCTTCCCTATTATATATATTTTACATTATATACTAGAGATTCTATTATTTTCCAATAGAGCTTAGAGATTCAAGATGCTGAGCAGGTTGTTGTTATCTGTTTTTGGAGTGGGGCAGGAGAAAATACAGAAGAAAGATAAGTAGAGACATAGACCAACAGGTGAAAAACTAAACAAAAGATGATTTTCTGAGAATATGCAGATTCAAAGGCTTTTACTTTCACAAAAAAGGAAACCCATTATAGAACAGTATCTTTAAAAAACTTTTGCCTTGAACTGACATTTCCTCCTTTATAATATACAATCATAAGTCCCTACAAGACTGTGATTTGAATATCTTCTTTCCTCTCAATAAATGAGAAATTTATTTTTTAAATAAATGAATAACACATTAAAAAAAAAAAAAGGAATATATCTGCTCCTTTAAAAGGAAAGAATGAAAACAAAGGAGAGCCAGCAACAGATGTTCTATAGTTCAAGGTAGCAGGTCAATGTAAAACATATTTCTTTTGTTCTGAGAAATAAGCAGGTCTCTGAAAGCATTCTTCTCTGGTCCTCTCTAGAGTCCCAGGAACTTCTAAGACTTAGTAGTTATCTAGTCTGCTTTCATTATTGAGCTTTAGCAACTGTGGCATAGATCAGATCAAGAATATTATTCTTGAAATAAACTGATGCAGTATCTCACAGACAGATTATTTTAAATTAAGCATCTACTTTACTAAGCAAGACTGGATAGGGTGGGGGGAGGTCCTCATTTTATTTTCCTCAGATATAAGTATTTCCTGATCTAAACTTTTCAAAGATTCAGCAAGACACCAAATAGTTCATAAAATCATCGCCTTCAACATGGATATCAGGAAGCAGCACAGTTGATTTGTACAAACTATGCTCACTTTTGCTCACCAATTTTAAAAAATCCTAAAACTTAAAAAAAACATGAAAATTTGTTTGATAAAGTCCAATGAAAATTTATAGTATCAAACTATATAACAATGGCATTAAAATACATACTGAAATGTAATTTCTACCTTAAGTTTTGCATAGCAGTTCTGTAGATGGTCCATATCGCTTCCCAGTTTCAGATTCTGTGTTTCCACATTTTCCTGAGCTAGAAGGTTCTTCCGCTGAAGTACAAGTAGCTCATTCATGCAATTTAAAACAGCAACTATATTTAATTCTCTCTTTGTCTCTTTACCTTTGGATTCTTCATATAATGAAGGAAAACCGAAAGTAGTCAATTCCTAGTAGGAGAAAATGTTTTCCTAAAAGTTGGTTACTGACAACTTAGTAAATAAACAAAAGACAGAAATCTCTTCTGAGAAAGAAAACTATCCTGAGATACTTAAGAGAGTAGTACCTATGCCAAAGGACAAAGAATTAAGAGACCTGGGCTCTTTCAGCCTCTGCTCTACAATTACCTGTGATCTGAAGTAGGCACTTAGGTTTCTACATGTAAAATAAGGATAAGACTCCCCCTGGCGGAGCTCCTGGAGTGATGAGGGAACCAACTTGCTCCAGACAAAAGCATTCAGCTGGTATCTAGACTAGACGGTCACCAAGGTTCTCTGCAAATCTAATATATGTCCCGAGCCAATATGTAACATACGTGTGCTTGACAAGTTTACCATTCTTATGTACTACTGCATAACATGATTTCTGTTATTTATTGCATCTTACAAAAAAAAGTTACCTGATCAAGATATGAGATACTTTGCTCAATATTCTCTTCTGTGCAGAAGGCACTAAAATAACTGTGCACATTTTTTGATAAAGGTATTGAAGAACATAGCACTTGCTGTGAGTATAAACTTGATGGAGACATCTTTGTTTCTGAGGTATATTGAGAGATAGTTTTGCTTTCTGAAAGAATCAATAAAAGGCATTTACATAAATAACTTGCAAAGAATGTATGCAATGCTAATAACATGATTGTCATTACCAAAGATTCTGAATTATAGAAATATTGTTTTTTCAAATTAGTTTTTCAAATCTTAATTTTTTCAAAACCAGTTTTTTTCAAAGCTGGTTTTTATATGAAAACTATATAATATTTTCCAAAAAATATACAATAAAGTGGTTACTCTTAGAAAGCATATTAAGTTGCAATATTCTATCTTAAAAATTAACAGTACTTTAGATTTATAAAACTGTTAGGCAAAACCTACTTGTCTATGCACTCAAACTTTATGTGATTAAAGGAATAAATCAGAGAAATATACTGAGGTAGCCAATGAATTTACTTCAAATGCAGAAAAATCTCCTCCTCAAGTAATCAACTATTCAGCCAAAGCACTTAACCCTACTAATTAGGTACAATTCTTAGCTCTCCCTTATGATTTTACTAAAGAAAGATGAAAATTATATATTTTACTCCTATTTATGTCTCTCTCTAGGTACATCTTCAATATTTATGGTAATTACAGTGTCACTGAAAATTAACCTGCACAATTACTGTTCTAGCTTACAACCATTCTAAACTCTGTTACCTGCAGACAGACCTGGATCTGTAACAGTCATCCAATCTCCCATAGCAATCACCAGAGCCAGGATACCTGAGGAACCAATTCAGCAGTGACACATTCAGCCCAGCTGCTGTCAGTCTTCTATGTAGGCATTTCCTTAGAAAACAAATCACAGAAAAAGAGCATCAAATTAAACATGTGAAAGCAAATATAAAGTCAATGTGTCAGAAATAGTCATATGTGCTTCAAACCAGAAGGATTCTGTACTACTCTCATGTACTATCATATACAACACCGTAAAGCATAATAATAAAAACTGTGTTTATGTGTATGTGTAAGTTCAGTTCAGTACAGTTGCTCAGTCATGTCCAACTCTTTGCAACCGCATGGACTGCAGCACACCAGGCCTCCCTGTCCATTAGCAACTCCCGGAGTTTACTCAAACTCATGTCCATTGAGTCGGTGATGCCATCCAACCATCTCATCCTCTGTCATCCCCTTCTCCTCCCACCTACAAACTTTCCCAGCATTAGGGTCTTTTCCAATGAGTCAGTTCTTCTCATCAGGTGGCCAAAGTATTGGAGTTTCAGCTTCACCATCAGTCCTTCCAATGAATATTCAGGACTGATTTCCTTTAGGATGGACTGGTTGGATTTCCCTGAAGTCCAAGGGACTCTCAAGAGTCTTCTCCAACACCACAGTTCAAGATTCCAGCTTGTGCTTCATCCAGCCCAGCGTTTCACATGATGTACTCTGCATGTAAGTTAAATAAGCAGGGTGACAACATACAGCCTTGATGTATTCCTTTCCCGATTTGGAACCAGACTGTTGTTCCATGTCTAGTTCTCACTGTTGCCTTCTGACCTCCATACAGATTTCTCAAGAGGCAGGTCAGGTGGTCTGGTAGGAATGGCAAACCACTTCAGTATTCTTGCCTTGAGAACCCCATGAACAGTATTAACAGTGTGTGTGTAAGGATCAAAGTTAAAAGGCTTCTCAAGTTATAGTAAGGTATTCACATTACTTTGCATATACAAAGTATATATTCTGACTCACAATATAAATCTAAGGTACAGAATTGTACCAGAATATTGGAGTGGGTTACCATTTTCTACTCCAGGGGATCTTCCCAACCTGGGGATCAAACCCGTGTCTCTTGCATCTCCTGAACTGGCAGGCGGATTCTTTACCACTGAGCCACCTGGAAAGCCCTAATAAATATTTCCAAATTATATCCTTTAAAGTAAAATTCCTACTTTACTTTACTTTTTTGAAAAGAAAAAAATTTTTTGGCCAGCATTCCCATTTTTTGTTTGCAGTTTTTACTAACTATATTAGCAAAACTTTTACTTAGTGTTGGGACGGATGCAGTGAAATGAATACTCCCATACACTGCTCTCCAGAAACCTTAGATCAATTTATACTACACCAGGCAATTTGACAATATGTATCAAAGTCTTAATAATGAAAATATATTTTGATCCAGAAATTCCATTTTCAAAACAATCCTAATAAAATAACATTTTCCACAAAGATTCACCAACATATTGTTCCTTATAATATGAAAAAGACAGAAATCAGTTATATGTTCCACTGTAGGAGATTGGTTACATAATACATTTATATACTGGAACACTGTGCATCCTTTAAACACAATCATTCAGAATTAGAGTGGCTAACAAATACACAAAAGGCAAGAAAGGTATATGAATCAAGTAGACTAAATATAAGAAACACAAACTTTTTAGTCTACCATTCATACTTCTATTTTTCTATAGAGACGACAGAAGCAATAAATATTTCTCCACCATAAAATATTCAAGTGAAATTACAAATGGCAACTGGAAATTGATTTCAAGGTCAGGGACAGGAGGAGAGAGGTGAAGATGGGAGGCTAACTGGAGAACACATGTCAACACTTTGGACAGCTGCTTCCCAGCCACAATAAACTATGGCCAAAAGAGAAAGCAACTACGCTGGTACATCATTTCATTTTGAGAGATGTTGAGATGCTGGATTTCTCCATGAAATCTCCAAATAATATTAGCAGCTAATTGCAAACATTAACTATGCAAGCTACCCTGTGCAAAGGCAGAATGGCTAGAAGGGGGAGATCAGAGCACCGCATGTTTTGATCTGAGAGGTGGTTACTTAGGTACACATATCAGTACAATTCATCAAGCTGTACATTTTAGACCTGTGCACTTGACTGAACAGAAGTTATACCTCAAACACTACCACTTTTTAATAAGCCAAATAAAATGTGTCTTTAGGTCAGATCTGGACTGTAGATGGAGAGTTTACCATACCACCTCTCTTTTGAATACTAAAGATGTGGGAGAATATTCACAATATGATGTTAAAGTGAGACGAAATCTTTCATTCATTCAGTAAAATTTTAACTGTGCTACTACATGATGGCATGCTTTTCTAGGCACAGGGAAAGCCCTGCTCTCAGAAGTCCACATTCTGGTGGGGTAGAAATAGATCAGAAGTAAGCAATAAATTACAGTAACTTCACATTCACTGTGATGAGAATAAGAAAAATAAAACACTAATGAGAGTATGGGGAGGGAATATCTGGATCAGTCAAGCAAGGCTGCACTGAGATGCTGATGTCTGAACTGAGACCTAAATGATACGGAATCATCAACCACAAAAAATAGCCAATGACCAGAGAAGCCCAGGTGGAGAAAACAGCACATACAAAAACCCAAGATGGAAAGAACTTGGTACATATGAAAACCATAAAAACAGCCAGTATACCTGAAGCACAGTGACAGATGTACAAAGTTGGATTTCCTCTAAACTGCGATGAAAAGTTCTCAAAGCGGTTTAGGCAGGAAAGCAACATGATCCCCTTTAGGCTTTAAAAAATATCATTACGGCCACTCTGCCCTATGAGATTATAGGGGGGCAATAGTGGGCGCTGAAGAAATGAGGCTACTGCAGTAATTCAGGCAAGGAGACCAGAGTTACAGTATGTCTCTTCAGTGAAAGAAGAGACACATGGATAAATTAAGGATGTGTCCTGGAGACAGAACCTTCAGGATTTATAGATGGATTGAAACAAGGGCAAAAGAGAAATGACAATTCCTAGATCACACAGCAACATAAAATATATACTCGTGCAAATCACTGTATGTGATTTGCATACATATTATGCAATTCACATTATGTGATATTACAATTAGGTGAACAATGTCACATATTATACACATAACATTATGATGTCACACACATACACATAAAAGGTTTTCTAGTCTGGCACTGATCTTTTGCTATTTTGCCACTCATGTGTTTTGGGAAGAACACCTTGAACTCTTGTACTTTCCACTGACCTTAAATGGGTGTCTTCAGCAACAGGAAGAACAGGATGAGAGTTGAATCGGCACTCAGAAAGAAAAATGATCTCAATTTTGGTTTTCAGAAATAGTAGCTATAAGCAAAACAGAATCCAAAGGGATAATAAACCCAATGATTCCAACCTGGCTCTGGTTTGGGTAAGCTACTTTAACTTCTCCAAGCCCTAATTTCCTCACTGGTAAATTGCCATTATCTTCTAAGGACTGAGACGATGCACATAAAATATTTATTTAGCAACTACCTGGCATATGGGACACACGTAATTAGTATCAGTTATTATCATCATCATCCCAACATGGATCTGGTTGGTATAAATGACAGGATTCTAAAACCTGTAACAAAATGCATTGCTGCTCTCAGTAAGACTTCAACATAAATCCTCAGAAGATCTGAGACACATCATTAGAAAACATAACACTAGCTCTAAGTGCCTTTTCTCCTCATACAGAAAGATTATTAAACACCAAAACGCGTCTACTACAATTGTTGTTCAATTGCTAACTCGTGTCCAACTCTTTGCAACCCCATGGACTACAGCACACCAGGCTTCCTTTTCCTCCACTATCTTCTGGAGTTTCCTCAAGTTCATGCCCATTGAGTCGATGATCTACTACATATCCACACTTTAAAACTGTAATCTAAGCCAGTTACTCTTAACTGTGTGTTTAGCTCTCCAATGTCTACAGGTTTCAACAGTAAATTGTTCCCTGTCCTGTTAAAAACAAAAACATAGATGCAAAATATTCAGGTCTAGTTAAATCCAAAGTGAAAACCAAAACTATTCTATTCAATGAGGCACCAAATTATATACACGGAGGCTTGTGATAAAATGTCACCTAGCCAGTCTTTTCAAGAACAGAGACTACACATCAATATGCATCCTAAAAGAGAACAATTTATGCAAAGTATTCTATACTTGTCTCCTGAGAAACCTGTATAAGGGTCAAGAAGCAATAGAATCAGACATGGAACAACTGACTGGTTCAAAATTGGGAAAGGAGTACGTCAAGGCTGTATATTGTTATCTGCTTAGTTAAATTATATGCAGAGTAAGTTCAGTTCAGTCATTCAATCATGTCCGTATCTTTAGGACTCCATGGACTGCAGCACACCAGGCTACACTATCAATCACCAATTCCCGGAGCTTACTCAAACTCACATCCATCGAGTTGGTGATGCCATCCAACTATCACATCCCTCCATCGCCCCCTTCTCCTCCCACCTTCAATCTTTCCAGCATCAGGGTCTTGTCCAATGAGACAGTTCTTCCCATCAGGTGGCCTAAGTATTGGAATTTCAGCTTCACCATCAGTCCTTCCAATGAATATTCAGGACTGATTTCCTTTAGGATGGACTGGCTAGATCTCTTTGCAGTCCAAGGGACTCTCAGGAGTTTTCTCCAACATCACAGTTCAAAAGCATCAATTCTTCAGCACTAAGCTTTCTTTATAGTCCAACTCTCACATCTGTACATGACCGCTGGAAAAACCATAGTTTTGTCTAGAGGGACCTTTATTGGCAAAGTAATGTCTCTGCTTTTTAATATGCTACTTAGGTTGATCATAGCTTTTCTTCCAAGGAGCAAGCATCTTTTAATTTCATGGCTGCAGTCACCATCTACAGTGATTTTGGAGCAAAAAGAAAAAAAGTCTGTCATGGTTTTCACTGTTTCCCCATTTATTTGCCATGCAGTGATGGGACCAGATACCATGATCTTAAGTTTTCTGAATATTGAATTTTAAGCCAACTTTTTCACTCTCCTCTTTCACTTTCATCAAGACGCTTTTTAG